GACAATTCCAGTGCCCAATCACTCTTTCAGTGAAGAATTATTTTCTGACATCCAATCTAAACTTCCCCTGGTGTATGGATGCTAACTATGAAGCAGGCAGCACGGTGCCTGTGGAATAGCAGGCCGCATAACTTTCTCAGTCTCACCTGAGAAAGTGGCCTGGGAAATCATAAGGAGGAATTAAAACAATCCTCAGAGATAGAAATCAGCCTTGCAGGTGCTGTTTGTCAGTTTCTTGTTTTCTTGCAAGAGAAGGTCGAGGGGTGGTGTACCCCACTGACCAATGATGGTGATGTGCTAGTTTACTAACCAATAAGAGTTTTACCTTTCTGTACTTTCATGTAACAGTCTATAAAAAAAGATCTGAGGTAATAAACCTACAGGAAGAACTCTCCTGTTCAACTCACAAAAGAGTCTGTGTCGTTCTTCTCGCCGTTCCCAATAGAGCGACACTGGTGCAGCTTAAGGCTGTGTCCTCTTGTTCTGTCAGTGGTTGCCTGGGAGAAGAAACTGACTCCCACCTCACTACAGCCAAGTTGTAGAGAGTGATAAGGTCTCCCCTGAGCTTCCTTTTTTCCAGGCTAGACAACCCCAGCTCCCTCAGCTGTTCTTCACAGGGCTTGTGTTCCAAGCCCTTCATCAGCCTTGTTGCCCTTCTCCGGACGTGTTCAAGCATCTCAACATCCTTTGTAAATTGAGGGGCCCGGAACTGGACACAGTACTCAATGTGCACATGTTCAGTTGGCTGTCAAGCAGTATCCCCAGGCCACTTTCTACCTGGCCACTGTCCAGCCACACTGTCCCCAGCCTGTAGCACTGCAGGGGATTGCTGTGGCCAAAGTGTAAGACTTGTCACTTGGTCTTGTTAAACTTCATGCTGTTGGACTTGGTGCATTGATCCAGCCTGTCCAAGTGCCTTTGTAGTGCCCTCCTACCTTCCAACAGATTGACACATGCTCCCAGCTTGGTGTCATCTGCAAATTTACTGATGGTGGACTCAATCCCCTCATCCAGATCATCGGTGAAGATACTGAACAGGACTGACCTCAGCTTCCTGGGGGACACTGCTAGTGACTGGAAACCCACTGGGTGCAGCAGCGTTCACCACCACTCCCTGGGCCATCCAGCCAGTTCCTAACCCAGCACAGAGTGCTCCTGTCTGAGCTGTGGGCTGCCAGCTGCTCCAGGAGTGTGCTGTGGGAGACAGTGGCAAAGGCAGACAACATCCACAGCCTTTCCTGCATCTACCAGGTGGGTCACATCATCATAAAACTATGGTATTAATCAGGTTGGTCAAACACAACCTGCCCCTCCTAAACCCATGCTGGCTGGGTCTGATACCTTGGCCATCCTCTAGGTGCTGTGTGGTGGCACTGAGAATGATCTGTTCCATAATCTTGCCAGGCACTGAGCTCAGGCTGACTAGCCTGTAATTACCAGGATCCTCCTTCCCACTCTTTTTGTGAGTGAGCATCACATTGGCCAGCTTCCAGTCATCTAGAATCTCTCTGGTGAGCCAGGACTGTTGGTGAATGATGGAGAAAGGCTTCACAAGCACATGTGCCAGCTCCCTCATCACCCTGGGATGGATCTCATAGATTTGTGAGGACCTCAGTGGCTCAGCAGGTCTCTGCTTCCTTCTGGATTATTAAGGGGCTGTGTTGCTTCCTGACACCATCTACCAGTGCAGGAGAACAGTTGTCCTGAGGTCAGCCTGTCTTTCTGTTGAAAACTGAGGCAAAGAAGGTGTTAAGCATCTCTGCCTTTTCCTCATCTTTAGTTACTAAATTCCCTTCTGCATCTAATAGAGAATGGAGGTTATCCTTGCTCTCCTTTTGCCATTAATGCATTTATAGAAATATTTTTTATTGTCCTTTACAGAAGTGGTCAGATTGAGTTTTAACTGGACTTTTGCCTCTAGTTTTTTTCTTACATGACCTAGCAACTCCCTTAAGCATTTACTGAGATACCTGACCCATCTTTCAAGGGTGATATACCCTGTTTTTTTCTCAGCTCCTTCATAACCTCCTTGCCCACCCAGGCCAGTCATTTTCCTCATCATTTTCCTTTTGGCCCCTTGGGACAGTTTGTTCCTATGCCTTCAAGATTTCTGTTTTGAAGCACACCCATCCTTCCTGGACTCCTTTGTTTTTAAGGGCTTCCAAGGTACTCTCTGCATAAGGCTCTCGAATGGGCCAAAGGCTGCCCTCCAGAAGTCCAGTATGGAAGTTTTATTGATGCCCCTCCTTGTTTCACCAAATATTGAAAACTATAATTTCATGATCACTGTGCCCCAGATGGCCTCCAACCACCACATCTCCCACCAGCCCATGTCTGTTTGCAAACAACAGGTATAGCATAGTCCCTCCCCTGGTAGGCTCACTCACCAGCTGTAACAAGAAGTTGTCCTCCATACACTCTTAAATACCTCCTAGACTGCCTCTTCTCTACTGTGTTGAGTTCCCAGGAGATAGCTGGCAGGTTAGTCACCTACAAGAACAAGGACTGGTGATCTGAAAACATTGTCCAGCTGCTTGTAGAATAAGTTATCTACCTCTTCATCCTGGTTGGGTGACCTATAACAGACTGCCAGTAGGATGTCAGCTGTGTTGGCCTTCCCCTGATTCTTTGCCCTGGCCCCAGACTGCCTTTTGGCTCTCCTGTCCTCAATGGCTCTTGCTTACCCTCGCATCTGTCCTGCCTCCCTGTGTCCCTGTCTGAGCCACCTGCATCCAACCCTGCCTACCTCTGAGCCAGCCCACTGCTGTGATCCTCACTGGGACCCTGTCCAGGCTCCTGGACCCCCTGCCCAACCACCTCTCACCTCATGTCCAGTCACCTGTCAAGCAGCATGCATGCTCTCCCACCTCCTGGGAGGTCAACGGCACTCCCCAACCTCCAGTGGAATCTTTTTCTCTGTCTCCTCTCTCTCACTCTCTCTCACTCTCTGTCTTCCCCCCACCCCATTCCTTTCCCTTTTTTCTTCCTCTTGCTCTATCTTTTCTAGCCCTCTTTAGTAGAGTAACTCCCTTTTGTTTTTCCTTATGAATAAATGGTTCTTAGATACAGTGTTTGTCTTGGTAGACTTAATTTTGTTCCTGATCACCTAATTTGAAAAGAACTCCTTGCAGTTTCCCGCAGTGGAACGTGGCACTGATATTGCAGGTAACTGCTAGACCGCCATTGAAAGGGGCAGTCCTAGACTATGAGCACCCTAGCACAATGCAGAAGTGTTTTGTGATTAAGCTACTTGAATTTCAATTCTGTACTCTGAAGCTGTACCAAGTATCTGATGGAGCTGTGCACTGTGAGTTATGACATGGTTCACTTCATCCATGATTGCAGCAGCTGCCTTCTGTTTGTCTCTGAAACTCTTCAATGGATGCAAGTTGGTAAGTTGTGCTTGTCAGGCCTACTCTGTGACACAGTGTACCTTAAAATGCTGCTCACGAGGTGCATGCCTCCTCCATTCCTCAAGGTATTTCACTGTGTTCTTGTTGTTAAGAATAATTAGAAGATTGTTACCATGTTACTGTTTGTAAACCCCTTACTTACCTTGTACCCCTGTCCCAGGTTTACTTACCTTGTACCCCTGTCCCAAATTGCTGTACCCCGTGTTTCTTGTTCCTTGTTCCTTGTTCAGCCAGGCCCTGCCCCCACTGCCAAGTCGCTGTACCCTGTGCTTCTTGTTCGTGTTCAGCCAGGCCCTACCCCCACTGCTCCTAGACTCCCACATGGCAACACTGTACCCCTGCCCCATGTGGGGTGAGCATTTTCCCATATCTGCCCCCAAAGGCCTCAAATAAAGACCAACCCTTATATTATCTCTTATACTAATATTGCCTCAAAAGTGTGTTGTTTCATTTCTAAGTCTCACCACAACTGCCAACACCAAGATAAGCACCACTGAACAGTTGTGCTCTCCTATTATATGGGATCTGGCTATACATTTTTAACTCTTATATGAACTTAAGAAGAATACTCCTCACTCTATAAGCAAAGTGCCTTATTTGTATTAAACTTAGTAAAGCTGTTATTTTTTGTTTGGTTGGGTTTTCTGGTGGGGAAGGCAGCACAGTTACCTTCTTCCTACAGCTAAGGCATCTCCCTGGAGCCTGTGACCAATGCTGAGAGCTTGGGTGAGCTCTGGGGCCACTCAGGTGCTGTGGCTGGTCATGCAGGGCGGTGTATGGACAGGAGCACTGGCATGAGCTCTGCCAGTTTGGTGGTGGAATGTCTGCCAGATTCGATTTGGGGGCAGCAGGGAAAACAGCTGTGTGAGGTAGATGATCTCTTAGCCTGGTGGCAGAGCTCAAAGAGGAAGAAGAAAGTGTTGAGGACTCTAGGAGATAGGAGCTGAACTCTACCCTCCCTTACACAATTACAGGGGCTGCTAAAGGTAGTCAGATATTGGAACAAGCTGATCAGAGTTGTGCAGGAGTCGCCATCCCTGGGCATATTAAAAAAAAAAGTGTGACTATGACACTTGAGGTCACAGTTTAATGATGAACAGGATCAGTGTGCTGTGTTGACAGCTGCACTTGGTCTTAAACCCAGGTAAGTCTCTGGTTCTATGCAGCAGCTTTCTTCACTTAGTGTTTTTTCTTTTTGCAGTTTATTTTTCACTTCCGTTAGTAGCTTTCACCTATTCTATTTCCACGCGAACACTAGGTCAGACAGAAGGATTATTGCGCTTCACTTAGCCCCCTCCCAATGTTTCTTTTCTCCCTCTCCAGTACTGGCCCAGAGCCGCTGAGGGCTGTGCCCGCCCGCCCCGTCGCTGTCCTGCGCAGGCGCGCGGTGCGCACGGGCCGCCGGGAGCCGCGCGGTTTGAATGTGAGGCGATGGCGGCGCTGACCCAGCACCCGGCTCCGGCCCTGACCCAGCACCCGGCTCCGGCCCTGACCCTGGCCCCGTCCCCGTCCCTGACCCCGACCCAGGACCCGACCCCGACCCAGGACCCGACCCCGACCCAGGACCCGGCCTCGACCCAGGACCCGGCCCCGGTGAGGGCCCCGACCCCGGCTCTGGAGCGGGCTCCGGCCCCGGCGAGGGCCCAGGGCGGCGACGTGCGTGTCCCCAGTCTGTTCTGGTTAGTGCCGGCGGGACGGGACGGGTACAGCCCGGGGGTGCAGTGAAGGGATGCGCAGCCCCTGACTGTTGCCGCTTTATTCCCGCCGCAGCCTGAGGGACCGAATGAAGGAGCAGCTCATGGAGTACAACACGGCTGTTCTTGCCGGTAAATATATCCCTCCTCGCAGTGGAATGTTGCACTAACAAAGAATGCCGTGTGTCATATATATATATATATAAATCTTTAATTATTTATCAAAAGTCCTTCTTACGATAATGATTTTTTTTTCCCCCCTGGCTGTACGTTTTAACTCATTTTCCAATCAGCTTTTGAGGCATATTAGAATGATTACATGAGCAGTTGCCCACTGCTCTTTCACTTCTTTTCTGGGTTTGAACTTTAGACTCCTCTGACATGTAGTGATGGTTCTCAGAACTCTGGTCACTTGCCAAAAGTGTTTGGAAGCAATACTGATTTAAGATGTTTCCATTACCTGTAGAGTCACAAGGTGATTTGGGTTGGAAGGACGTTAAGCACATCTGGTTTCAAACCTCCACTATGTACAGCCACACCTTCAACTAGACCATCTTGCTCAAAGCCCTATCCAACCTGACAACCTGAACACATCCAGGGGTGAGGCATCCACAGCTTCTCTGTACCAGTGCCTCACCACCCCACAGTATATCTAATCTAAACCTACCCTCTTTCAAGTACAAGCCATTCCCCCTTGTCCTGTCACTACATACCCTAAAAGTAAAACGTTCTTATCCAGCTCTTTCATAAGCTCCATTCAGGGACTGTAAGGACTCAGCAAGGTCACTATGCAACCTTCTCCAAGCTGAACAACCACTCTCTCAGCCTTTTCCTCATAGGAGAGGTGCTCCAGCCCTCTGATCATCTTCATTCCTCTCCTCTGGACCTGCTCTGACATATCCATGTCCTTCTTATGTTGGGAATCCCAGGCCTGGATGCAGCACAGCAGGTGGGGTCTGCCAAGAGCAGAGTAGAGGGGCAGAATCACCTCCCTTGACATGCTGGCCACATTTCTAATACAGCCCAGGATGCAGTTTGGTATATGCTCTTCCACTGAACCATCCAGTGGCATATATAGAGCAATGTCTTGAACCAGCTCTAACTCGTCTAAAAAGTGCTAAATTAAAATATTTTAAAGCCTAATTATTTCTCTGATACAGCTGATTGATAGCATAGTCTCATTAACAGTAAAGGATAATAAAGCTTGGAGGTAGAAGTATGCAATAACTTGTTCACACAAAAACTACTAATACTTTATGCTCTACAGAGTGTATTTAAAAGTCTCTGTTGTACTTGTTTTAGCAACGTTCTCTTTTGCAGGTCAGGAAAATTTCCATGATCATTTAATTGAAGAAAAATTTATCCTGAGGTAAGTCACTGGATAACTTCAAAACTCTCTGTTAATTCCTTCTTAGTGAATTGCTGGATTAACAATCAGTACTTTGGAGAAGATTGGTGAAAATAATGGAAATTTAGAGGAAATGTGGGGAAGAAATGCTTTATTCATTCTCCCAATATACTTCTGTATCTAAAGTGGCTTTTAAATTTTCAGTCCTTTATGTGATGGCTAGAATTCACTAATATAGTTCCACATGCTAAATTACTCCCAGCCCTAATAATTTCTGGCTCACATGAAAAATTCTTACATTAGATATGTAGAAAGCAAGTTAAAATGTGACACTACTTTTAAACTCTGTTTTCTTCACATTCAGGTTGTCTGTCATTGCTTTTTGTCTTTCAGTTCCACACAAGAATTGGAAAGAGATATAGAGGAAGTAAAAGTCTCTTTCCAAAACAAGACATTGGCCTTGCAAAGGTAGAATTTTCTTCACCCTTTATTTGGAGGTTTCCTCTCTCTGTGTGCATACATAGATGCATATATACATACGTTTGATTAAAACAGGATTTTAAAGTGATATGGGAGATTGGGAAGATTTTACCATTGCACGACAGGAATGCAGATGGATATGCTATAAAACAAAAAAAAAATTTGTAAAACAAAAACAAAACAAAGCCCACCAAAACTAAAAACTTACCAGTTGAAATGTGTAAACCTGAAAGTTCCTTTATAGTTGGGAAAGAGTAACTGTACAGATCAGTAAGCATATTTATTGGCAGTATTTTCTAAATGCCTATGAAAAGATGTAAGATGATAATGTTAGACATCCCATGTGTTTCATGGCTGTTTATTTGAATTCACACCTTTGCTCAGCTTCCTTTCTGCAGCATCTGGGATTAATAGTGTCCAGATATGTTGGTCAAGAGAAAAAGGAGTTGTCACAAATAATCATTGATACTTCTTTCCTGTTCTGAGAGTTAAGTCCCATTATTTAAGAAGTGTGATATTTAAGAGGTATGGAGTATTTTGTTTATATAATTCCAATGTGAAAGTGGACAAAGGTGGAATTCTGGAAATTATCTTTTTCTATTGATTAAATATCTGCTTCTCTCTGTTTCCTGCTTCTCACAGTTTCTTATGAGTTCACATCAGTCATATGCTATTTCTTACAATATGCAGGGTCCAAATTATGGATGCCCTGAGAAACAAACTGAAACAAGATGATGTGAGCTCACGGTAAGGTGTTCTTGGAGTTCAAATGTCTAGAAAGGAATAGACTTTGCACAGTTTCTTTCTAGATTATTTAATTTTACCTCCTGTGAAAGCAAGCTTCCTTTTCCTAGATTTGACAAAATTATATACTATCTACCTTCTGGCTAGAATCAGCATGATCAGAACTCATACGCCCATGGTAGATTTGCAGCTGAGCTCTGAATTTACCCACCTTTCATTACAGAGATCATAACTCTTGATCCACTAGAGAGAACTGCTTTGTAGCCAAGAGAGCTTTTTGTCTTTGGTACCTGAATTACCTGCATTTATAATAGCTGAACACATATTACTGGCTTGTAATAGGGCCTTTCCTCTGCTTTGCTGCCTTTGTTAATTAACTATTTAGAAGCAAAATGTCTTTGAAAAAGAACTGAAAGCATAAAGCATTTAAAAGTAGCTTTAATTTCCTACCCATTATTAATGGGTGGATGAATATGAAGTAACATGAGAAATTTAATTTCTGTCAGAAATACAACTAAGAGATTGCATCTCCATGATTTAGGAACTTTAATTCGTAGCCATTTCTAGATAGCTGGGCTTTCTTGATACCTTTCAAACTCTGTGAAATAAAATGTTGACAGTCTTAAATGAAATCTTAGGGAAACTGAGAGGGAAATAAGGGAGCTCTTTAGCCTCTACAACGGTACTGAGTATATTAACTGTAAAAAGAAGTGATATTGTAAGTGTAAGTGTAAAAAGAAGTGACACGTAATATTATTTTGCTGTTAGGAGAAGTGAGAAATTCTTTATTTAATTGAATTAAATAAGTTGATTAAAAAATTTATTATATTGAATTATACTAGCAGTGTTAAAGTATGCAACTGTTTCCTTCCCTAGTCTGATCCTGGAAACAATGAAACGCATAGTATTGCTCAGCCAGACAATAACTGAATATCAGCAGGTAAGTGGCAGTTGTAGCTTCTGTTATTGTTGTGCTGGTCAGTCAACCTCGGCAGGAGCTCACTTGCAAAGCAACAGGACTGCACAAATTACTCCTGGGTGTGAGTGACTTGGTGATGTGGGTGCAGTTCCTACTGCTGTCAAAATTATTGAGAGGATTACCTAAAGTGAGCAGGTAAGTAAATCTGTTTTAGAGTTGCCCATAGCTGTTTTTGTGTATTGAATTAGCATCTTTCATATTTTTGAAGACAAAGAGTTTAGAAAATACTTTTTTTCCTTTCAGCAAGCACGTCAGAAGGAAGAGCAGTTGATTGACATTAAAAGGAAAAGACTCTGTAAGTGTGTTATCTGTATTGACTTTGGTTTGTATTTTAATATAGAGTTCATATTTTGAAATTGTTCTTGTAGCAATATTAATTTACATGGGAAGTAACAAAACACAGTTATAAGACTTGTTAAAAGAATAGAAAGTACTGTAGAGATGAGATAGTATGTTCTCTACTTGAACATGAGACTGACATGTTGAAGTGAGAGATGCAAGACAGCACTCAAAAACAATGTGGCAGCATTTTATTATTTCATGTAACAACCTCAGAAAGTTACACATTGTTTAGTAATTTAAATCAGCCTTACAGCACCTGAAAGACACATTTTTTGTCATGCTGCACATTTGTGAGGTGTTTGCAGAATACAGAGGGGATTTAGTTATAAAGAAGTGTATGTATATTGGTATTCAGTAGTCTCATTAGAGTGGGTCAAATTTAGATGTGACATCAATATTCAGAACTTTATATGGTAAATGTGTTCTTTAATGCTCTTTCATGACCAGGTTTGCCACGAATTTTAACAGCTATTGTTTGATTCATGTGTAGGGAGTTGAGTATATGTTGACAGTAATGAACAAACAAAATGAAATAACTGTTCACATGGGGAAAAATGAACATACTCGATATCTTGGCAAATAAAGGGAGGAATGCTCTGCCAGCATTCTTTCCACATATGAACTGCCCCTAAACACTATTAATCAGTCTAGTTTTTAGCCAGGTTTCCTATAAAAATAGTAATATTCACTGGTCATGTCCCTATGCTCCTTGTATGACTTTGGAATTTGGTTTCAATGAAATCTGGAAAAGGAGTAAGGGTCTTTAAGAGGTATAAAAAACAACTATAAATGTTGTAGCACTCAAAGACAGGGTATGGGACAGAGGTGCAAATTAGTCCCTGTGTGAGGGAAATGCAGGCAGCATACGACTTACTTTCTGTTTTGCTGTTGGCTAGGGAGCCAACTGATGTAGTTTGATACAAGGTAGTCACAGCATATAAAAGAAATATCTTGAGGTATATTGGAGGGAAGAACTGGAGTGTAAAATTAGGATTATTGCAGTGGAAGTGCTTTAGGTGGCTGTGAAGAAAAAGATCTTCGGTTCTACTGTGCACCTAACTACTTAATGCTTAATTTTCCTAATAATGCAACAGCACTAAAAAAAGATGGAGGACAGAAACTACAGCAAATTCAGACCATGATGAAAAGGCAAAAGGAGAAACAAGCGAGTATGAATGTCACTGAAACAGAGAAGATGCTTCATAAATTAAAAAAAGAAAGAGAGATTACTGCAATAATTCAAAACGTGTTCCAGGTAATGTTGTATGGCTTTTAGAACCAAGTTCACAATTTTTCATTACACTCAAGATAACATACTGTATGGCAAATATAACTTAACAACACGTAACTGTGTTTCCTAAAACGTTTAACAGTGGTAATGGAAGAATTGTGTGTAAAAGGAAGACTTCTATTGCTTTAAAGGCTAAGACCATGCAATTGTCACAAGCATCTTTGCATTAATTTTTTGCAGGGTTTAGAGACACTCTGTCAATCTGTCTGTTTCCTTAAAGGTACAAAAATAATGCATCTTTCTTGAAGAATGTCACAGTAATGGGTGTATTTCCTTTTACTCTGAATCACCTCTGTACCCTGCCAACTCAGTTTCCCCATCTAATGGTTAGAAGAAATAAATAGGTGTTAATCCCATGTTACCAGTGAGCCTCCATCTGCCCCTTCTGACCACGTGCCTTCTGTTTGTGTCACCCCCTACAGCTCTGTGAAGCCTTGGCTTGGAGCCACAGCCAGCCTCCAAATTCTTTCAGCAGCCTTTGCCCTTTTGGTTATCCATGTGTCACGGGCTGATAACTAGTCTGTATACATGTAGGTCACCTGGAGTGTGGAGCCATGCAAAGTGAGGAAGAAAACCTCACAGTTTGGGTTAGGGTGGAAGGGTCTCAGGCTGCATAGAAGTGTCAAGGACAAAAAGAGTGTTCTGGCTTTTTGCTCTGCGTGCTATGGCTGCTACAATTTTGCATTGATAATGTTGTTACATTTCAAATTGAGAATGAGAAATTTCATATTTTACTGGGATTTAGATTAGAGTCTAAAACTATCTCCTGGTTTTGTATTCTGAAAATTTTCTGAGCCCTAACTAGAGCAAATCCTCTGGTTAAATTTATATTCCTATTTTCAATCCAGAATGGCAGGGTGAGAATGTTAACTGTGCTATTTTGTGTTTGAGGCAAACTTTTTTTCATATCATTAAAAACATTCTCTAGGTTTCTGTGTTTAAAATAGAGGTAGTATGCAAAGCCCCTCTAGGAAATAAAAAAGCATGGATTTGGGGTTGGTTTTGTCTATGTATCAACAATAGGATCTGAATCAATACTTCCCTTTCTCCTTTTTCACCCCATCCTGCCTACCTCAAAGGCTTGTGAATTTCAAGGGCTTTCAAATAAAAAATTAAAAAGCAGACTTTCTTTGAGATATTTTGCTAGGAATTGTCCTTTGCAAGGGCTTGTTTTAACCTGTGAATCTTTCTCATTTATAGAGTATCATCATTGGAAGCAGAGTTAACTGGGCAGAAGATCCATCTTTAAAGGCAATTGTTCTACAGCTTGAAAATAATGTCTATCTTCAGTGAGTCAGGAGGTGGATACACTGATGTTTATTTTATACACAGTGCACATTTTAACTAAATTTGAGAGATTATATGTATCTCAAAAACAATTTTATTTTAAAATGAATTTTAAAATTTGATCTTTCTGAAAGGTGTTCTTTCTAGAGAATTAGAATGTGTCCAAGCAATTCTTTGAAATGAAATTTATCTTCTGGTGGACAGCAAACATTTGAAGAGGCAGTAGAGCTGAAATGAAAATAACTGAAGACTCACTTCTCAAGATGTTCTGTCTCAAGCACTTGTTTTCCTCTGAAAAGCAACAATAATGCAAGAAAAGTTCAAGGTTTCATGTAGAAGTGGACTTTGCTGTACCCCTTTCCTGGGGACCAGCAGGCTGTGGAGCTCAAGCAGGATGCTTGACCCTGCTCTGTTCCAGTCAAAAGCTCAATCTGGAATATTTATTCGCAAATCTGGATTTGGGATTATTTTTGTTATTAAGGCATTTATGCATTATTTTAAACACCAGAAATTTTATGCTTTTTTTAGCAGTGATTCTTGTCTGTAGAGGTGACTGCATACTATCAGCTGTGCAGCTAAGCAGTGTTTTAATTGCGTCTTCACTAGCATTTGGTCTTTATTTTGTTGGTGGTGTTTGATGTTTGAAAGAAATTTACTCCTGGAGTGTACATTTTGGGTGTTGAGTGTTCCTTGTTACGTTGGTGTGTAACATCACTTTAAACTTAGTGAGTGTTCCCTAGCTATTTTTTTTAATGTGGTCGCTTTTAACTAATATAAAAATAAAACGCTGATTTTCCTGAAAGTACTTTATTTGGTTTGGAGGTTTTTTTAACTCCTGATACAGCGGTTCGTTTGGCAGGTCATGCCACTGCTCCGGGCCCCGCCCACAGGCGGGGCGGCCCCGCCCACGGCTGCGCTCGTGGTTGTGGGCGGGGCCCGGGGCTGCCCCTCAGGCTCGTCACCATGGGCAGCAAGATGGCGGCCGCCACCAGGGCGGTGCAGGTAAGAGTGGCCCCGGGACGGCGGTGTCTGAAACAGCCAGAGCCCTGGCTGGCGAGCGGGGCTCGCTTCTGCCGCCGCCGCCGAGCAGCAGGTCTGAGGCGGCCGTGGCTTGAGAACACGCCGCCGGGGGGCCGGTGTCCTTGGGGAGAGCCGTGCAATGGTGCGCACACGGTGTCGCAGGTGCTTGGTGCTGTGATAGCAGCGGGCGCGGAGCTAGCTGGCAGCACCTTCCTAAGATTTGCCTCTCCAAGGTGCAAGTGCTTTGTACAGGCAGAGCAGAGCTCGCGATTCCATGTGCTAATGCGCTGTGGAACCACGGCGTTGTTTGGATTTGAAGGGACCTTAAAGGTCACCTAGTTACAGCACCCCCCGCCGTGGGCAGGGACACCTTCATCAGTACAGGTTGCTCAAAGCCCCGTCCAACTTGGCCTTAGACAATTCCAGGAATGGGACAGCCACAGATGGTCTGGGCAACTTGTGCCAGTGCTTCACCACCCTCAAATAATTTCTTCCTAATCTTTCTGATCCAAACCTGCCTTCTTTGGGTTGTAAGGTCTCCTCAGAGCCTTCTTCAGGCTGAGCAACCCCAGCTCTCTCAGCCTGTCCTCACAGGAGAGGTGCTTCAGCCCTCTGATCATCCTAATGGCCTGCTCTGGACTCAGTCCAGCACGTCCAAGTTTTATTTGCTTTGGGGACCCCAGAGCTGGCCAAAGCACTCTGGATGGGTTCTCACCAGAGAGGATTGCATTGTGGCTGTATTCACTCAATGGCAGTGGCTGTTTCTGCACACACACACAGATGAGAATAGGAAGACAAAGCCTGTACCTGCTCCGGACATCAGGGTGCAGGACTACTTTTTAAAGTAAAATTCTTCGTGGGGTAAACTTAGAACTTCAAGAAGGAGTAAGTGTATCAGAGTACTGGTGCAGAGGGGAGCTGTTGAGAGTGGTTCTTGGATACATTGTACATTCCACTTTATTATTAATGGTAATCTGTGTCTGTTTCTCTCACTACCTGATCTCCTCCTAGGTAGTCAAGCCACATACCCCATTGATAAAGTTCCCAGACAGAAAAAGTGGTCCCAGACCTAAAAGTAAGTATTTTGGGTATGGATACAGCTTGTGCAACATTTCTTTACATGAACTGTTTATTTAAGAACCAGGACCAAATTTCTCACTTTCAGCTATACAACTGGACTGAGTTGGAGTGGGGTTTTTGAAACATGCTTGATTTAGTTTAAAGGCAATTCTTGAACTTTGTTCACAACTTCTTTTCTGTACAACTGTGTGTAGACACATAATGCATGTACGTCTGTATTTTTTTCTCAAGAAAGACTCTCAAAGATTTCAAAGCAAAGTGTTTGCTTTCTACTTTATATAAAGTCACATTTTCCCAAATACTGATATTTACTGAAATGACAGTGCCCAAGTCAGTTTGAAGCAGCTTCTGCTATTCAGTGATATTTGCATAAATGATGTTGCATTTTCCTAATTTTTTTCTTGGTTGAAGCATGTGATGTATTTTCTGCTGTATTTTCAAAACATGATTATAGCTGGGAGATCTAGCCCTCTGTACATTTTAAGAAGTATTTTCTTGTGTTATTAATTAATGCTGAGGAAAAAAAAATATTTCATTGCAATCTTTGATATTAGCTTTTAAAACTATGTTGATATTTATGGTATTCCCAATACTATTATATTTAAACAACAGATTTATATCAGCAATATGTTGGTTTAGTAGTCCATTTGGGTCAAAAAGCATCTGAAGGAAAGATAGTAGTTGTCTTTAAAATCTCTGTTGTGTTATTCTCACTTCTTTTGAAATTATACTGTGCCTAGTTATTTGCCACAGGATTATCAAGCCTGCAGGTTAGCTTTAAGTTTAGTTTAACATTTGAAAGCCTCCACAGTGCATATAAATGCCTCTTCTGACTTACCTGTGAACTCTTCATGAACTATTTTCTGCAATAACTTCCTGTCAAAATTCTGTACATTTTGCACAGTTCAGCCAAATCCACCACCTCTCGTGCCAGTGAACTACTTTATCAAAAAGCTTTTTCTCAAAAGCTTGAAAATGTGTTTCTGACCTCTTGTTTATCTCTATATCAGAAGATTCTTGTGACTATATCTTTTAAATACATTAGACTTCTACCTTCATCAGGATCAGTCATCTTGTTAGTAAACTGCACCCCACTTTGTCTTGGTTGAATGCTGTAGCAAAAACTGCATAACTGTACCAGACTGTTGCTCCTACATAGCTAAATGGCTACTTAGAGCAACTAAGGATGTGAAAGGCCAGTCATATTCTATTGGGCCTATTACTACTACAACATTATGGTCTCAAATATGGAAGGGAAAGATGTAGAGGAGACTGTAATAGAACTAAAGCAGCAGCAGTAAAATTTCTGATTACTGCACTTCTTATGTTTTTAATTGGCTAACAATTCTACTCCAACTACACTTCTGACTGAAACATACAGTAGAAGAAAATCCTTGACAAATTTCTAGACTTTTTTATGGTGGATGAAACAAACTTGGAGAAACTGGTGGTTTTTTTGGGGTTGTTTTTTGGTTTTGGTTTTGTTGTTTTTGTTGTTTTGTTTGGGTTTTTTTTTTGTATGTAAGATGTATTATTTCTTGAAACAAAAATAGTTTGCCCCCTGTTCACAATATGTTGCTTCTGATGGGCTCACTTCTGCCTTGCTCTGTTTCGGATCTTCTGTTTTTTCTGAAACACCTTGGGATTTTCAGACCCAGTCTTATGACTGACAGCTTCTGAATACGTCTTTCAATGGTGACTTGGTCACAGTGCTGCAGGTGTTTGATTGTTTGTCCTAATCCTGCAACTACATCAAACTCATTAAGGGAAAAACTGGCTTCCTCTCCTTTGTGGTCCTTGTGTGTCCAGGAAGGACAAAAGCAGGCAAAACTGTGGTGTTGTAGCTGCTTAGCTGCTTTCATGCAGTTTTCATGCTGCTTTTATAGTTATATAGAGCCTCTGTCCAGCTGTTGGATGTTGCACTTGTCTTGCTCATTTTTCTGGAGCACTGGGAAGGACTTCTGTGGAAGCATTCTGCTTTGTCAGGTGTTTTACCCTTATATAACACAGAATCACTAGGTTGAAGAGACCTTCAAGATCACTGAGTCAAACCCATGCCCTAACACCTTAACTAAACCGTGGCAATGAGAGCCACATCCAATCTTTTTTTAAACACATCTAGGGATGGTGACTCCACCACCCCCCAGGCAGACAATTCCAGTACTTCACCACTCCTTCCATATAAAACTTATTCCTAGTATCTGACCTGTATTTCCCTTGGTGCAGCTTAAGACTGTCCTCTCATTCTGTCAGTTGCTGCCTGGTGAAAGAGACAGCCCCACCTGACTACAACCACCTTTCAGGAAGTTGTAGAGAGTGATAATAGATAGACCCCTCCTCCAAGTCTACTTTTCTCCAGGCTAAACAGCCCCAGCTCCCTCAGCCATTCCTCACAGGGTTTGTGTTCCCAGCCCCTCACCAGCCTCGTTGCCTCCTCTGAACGCGCTCAAGCGTCTCAATCTCCTTCCTGAACTGAGGGACCAGAACTGGACACAGAACTCCAGGTGTGGCCTCACCAGTGCCGAGTACAGGGATAGAATGACCCCCCTGCTCCTGCTGGCCACACTATTCCAGGGGCCACCTGGGCACACTGCTGGCTCATGTTCAGCCACTGTCACCAGTACTCCTAGGTCCCTTTCTGCCTGGGCACTGTCCAGCCACACTGTCCCCAGCTTATAACATTGAAGGGGGTTTTTGTGGCCAAAACGCAGGACTCAGTACTTGGACCTATTAAAATCCCACTGGACTCTGCCCATCCTTCCAACCATTCCAGGTCTCTCTGCAGAGCCCTCCTACCTTCCAACAGATTGACACACACTCCCAGCTTAGTGTCATCTGCAAATTTAGTAATGAAGGACTCAAAACCCTCATACATGTCATCTATAAAAATATTGAACAGGACTGGCCCCAGCACAGACCCCTGAGGGACACCACAGGTGACTGGCCACCAGCTGGGTGCAGCACCGTTCACCACCACTCCCTGGGCCATCCAGCCAGTTCCTAACCCAGCACAGAGTGTTCCTGTCCAAGCTGTGGGCTGCCAGCTGTTCCAGGAGTGTGCTGTGGGAGACAGTGTCAAAGGCCTTGCTGAAGTCCAAATAGACACATCCACAGCCTTTCCTGCATCCACCAGGTGGGTCACCTGGTCATAGAAGGAGACCAGGTTAGTCAAACACAACCTGCCCCTCCTAAACCCATGCTGGCTGGGTCTGATCCCCTGGCCATCCTGTAAGTGCTGCACAATGACACTCAATATAAACTGTTCCACCACCTTACTGGGTACTGAGGTCAGGCTGAGTAGCCTGTAATTAGCAGGATCCTCATTCCCACTCTTTTTGTGAATGAGCATCACATTGGCCAGCTTCCAGTCACCTGGAACCTCACCAGTGAGCCAGGACTGTTGGTAAATGATGGAGAGCAGGTTTTCAAGCTGATCTGCCAGGTCTCTCATCACCCTGGGATGGATCCCATCCCATATATAGGACTGAGTGCTGAAATTAACATACTGCTGTTATCTCTGTCCTGCCCAGCGGACAATTGCATATTTCCATTGTAAAATTAGCCATGGTGGGACAGACCTAAGGTTCAAAATGCTGACTGTGACGACATTGCCCTATTGTCATCTCTTCTTTCTGCACAATCAAGGCAACTTCTCTAATGTGAATTCCTGAAGCTTAGCTCCTGATCCTCACCTGTGAAGAACTCCATGCACTCATCAGTCTTTGCATTTCATTAACATTGATTGCTGATGCCTGATACTTAGTGGTCCTTCTGCACATCATTAACAAAATGGGATAGGATGCCATTTTGTAATATTAAAAATGGGTACAGCACTGCATTGCATGTTGCAGCCTATTGTGAGCTTTATCTTTCTATAAGCCTCTAGATCTTTTTCACTTGTCTCTTTTCAGTTGCAGCAAACAAAAAGCATCACCTCAGTTATCTTTCTACATAATAGCCCACACACAAACTTTTACATAACTTTGTGCTTTTTCTCCAAGTACAGTTTCCCAGTGAAAAAGCCATTGTTAAGAGTATATGCTGACACATCTTATTTCCACATGAGTGTTTCTGCCATTTAAACTACTGTCAGAATTTTTAGATTCTGCACTTGATACATTTAACAACAAAAGCAGGTTCTGAGAAGTGGAGTGACTTAATTCTTTTACGTATTTGGTTAACAAATAAAGTTTTAAGCAATGGTAGATTTTATTAGCTGCTTATTGATTTTATAGTCTAGTAATATTTCTGTAAATGGTGTTGACATCTGGGTTTCAGTACAGGAATCTCTACAAGCAAGTATGCCATCTCTCCTTGCTTCAAAAGCACAAGAATCTGTAGGAGGCATATCACCAGCCTTTCAAAATATTTCACCTGTTAGTAGAGTACAAGGTGCACCAGATACTTCTGAATTAACAAGAGCCTTACCTCAGAAATACAGAAGGAAACAAATGTCAGATGAAGAGATTGAATATATTCAAGTAAGTTCTCTTCTTTAGCTTATTTCTACATCTTCTGGTATGGTATTATATAGCAATTCTTTATAAGAGTGTGCCCTGGGCTTTCATTGTTTTCATACGCAATACCCAATGTATTCTCAATGGAGAGGGTACCCACCTCTCATTGTATAGTAGCTTGAGTAGAGAGATTTGGACTTAGAACAGATGTTCAGGTAAGCTTGTAATAGTCACAACCTGCATTAATTACCACCACTACCTGTTTTATAACAGTTGTTTAATAGGTACTTTGACTGTGCTGGGCAGGAATGCAGAAGTCTGTTCTTAGACCAGGAAAGGCTATTACCAGCTGATCAAGGTCCAAAATATTTCTCAAACTTGTTTTGTAAGTTATTTATTAGCAAATTAACTCTTGTATTTCTAGTAGAAACATTTTATTGATATAAATATTTTCTGCAATAATATATAAATATGACATTGTACATGAAAGGCAAGAAAAACCTGCTTCTGTTCTGTAATAATTCTCAGTTGTAAAAAGTAATGATTCAAAAGGGAGAATGCACAAAACGCAAGGAACTGGTGAGGTGATTGTGAGTTTGAAATGAAAAGATGCTTGCAAAGCTTTGTTAAATGGTAAAGACATGTATAGCGTAACTATATTAGTAGAGGAAATCAGTTTTCCTTCATGTGTGCCAGTAGGCTGCATCTATGTAGTAGAAATAAAATCAGTTATTTCCTATAGTAATACACTTCCTGACTTTTTGCTTAAGTTTGTTTAACAGTGAGCTAAGTTGTAAAATAATTTCATTGGAAAAATAATGAACTGAATAACTTTATCATTTCTCATTAAGATTGTAATGACTCCTCTTGGCTTTGTTTTTACTTTGCACTTTGGAATGTAGGCAGTGAAAGTTATTTTAAAACTTGTGTCCGTTAGCATTGTGTTTGTCAGATATTTTTAAGGTTAAGAGTCAGGTTTCTTCAGAGAAAGAGACATGGAAGCAGCTGTAACTGTAGGTAGCACGTGTTCATTTTTTTGTATTTTCCCTTGAAAAAAATGTAGCCATGACCGGTAGATGCTGATATTTGACACTCTGTGCCTGTTCTTATATGGTAGAAAAGTCAACATTTAAATCAGAAATTAAAGCTGTAACTATGTCTCGTAGTCTATAACAGTGCAGAAGATAATTTGATCTCAGTTTTACGTTCTATTAGTGAAGTATATTTAACTGTATGCTTTTTTTTTTGCAGCGTGGAGGTCCAGAATAAATGTAGAAGATAGTTTCTTGACCACTATTGGAAGAATGAGGTATTATATTCACAATAAAGGCATTTCCTTAATATTAAAAATTATTGTATACTAATAGCTTTAATAAAATCCCATGTGATGGGTGAGAAGATCAACACAACACACAAGATACTGTTTTGTGACCGAGAAGGATTTTATGTTGATGGCTAATAGCTATTGAATATATATGATGTCTGCACTATTAAAGTATTTTTCTAATTAGCCATTTGAAAAATCAACAGTCTAACAGAGTCTTTCTTTTTCCACTGGTTGAGGTCACAAAATCACAGCATTGTTGATTTTTAAGGGTCAGGTTGGAAGGAGCCATAATGAGTCATGTGGTCCAACCTTCCTGCTCCAGCAGGACTGTCCCAGAGCACACAGCACAGGATTGTGTCCAGATGGTGCTTGCGTATCTTCAGTGAGGGAGACTCCACAGCCTCTCTGGACAATCTGTTTCAGTGCACGGTCACCTGCATGGTAAAGAAGTTCCTCTTCATGGTCAGGTGGAACTTCCTGGGCATCAGTGTCTGCCCATTGCCTCTTGTTCTATCGCTTAGCACCACCAAGAAGAGCCTGGTCCATCTTCTTGGCAATTTCCCTTCAAGTACTGATACATGTTAATGAGGTCCCCTCTCAGATCTATCTCCTTGAGGCTGAACAGCCCCAGTTGCCCCTGCCTTTTCTCATAAGAGGGATGCTCCAGACCCCTCATAAAATTTGTTGCCCTCTGCTGGACCCACTCCAGGAGCTCCACATCTTGATTGTCCTGAGAAGCCCAGAACTGGACAAAGCACTCCAGGTGAGGCCTGGATGCTCCTATATACTCCAGGATGGTGTAGAGGGGAAGGATCACCTCCCTCCACCTGCTGGCAATGCTCTTCATAATGCCTCCTAGAATACTATTTGCCTTTTTGGCCACCAGGACACACTGCTGGCTCATGGACACCAGGAACCCCAGGTCCTTCTCTTCCAAACTACTCCCCAGCAGGTCAGCTCAAGGCTATGTTGGTGCATGGGATTGTTCCTTCCCAGGAGCATGACCCTGCTTTTGCCTTTGCTGAATATCAGATGGTTCTCTGCTCATCTCTCCAGCCTGCTGAGGTCCTTCTGAAGGGCTGCACAGCACTCTGGGGTATCAGCTCCTCTTCACAGCTTTGTGTCCTCTGAATTTGCTGAGCAGGCATTTGCCCCATCATCCAAGTCATGGATGAACAAGTTAAACATTACAGTGTTGAACCTTGAGGGACATCACTAGGGACAGGCTTCCAACTAGACCCTGTGCCACTGTTTTTGACCCTCTGGGATCTGTTGTTAAGCCAGTTCTCAATCCACCTCACTGTCCACTCATCCAGCCCACATCCCTGAGTTCGTCTATGAGGATGTTGTTAAGAGACAGTGTTGAAATCCCTACTGGCATCAAGTAGACAATATCCACTGCTTTCCCCTTACCTATCCAGGTAGTTGTTTCCTTGTAGAAGGCAATCGGGTTGCTCAGGCGAGACTTAGATTTAGTGAAGCCATGCTACTATTCCTGATCACCTCCATGTCATCCACATAGATAGAGACGGCCTCCAGTGTGAGGCACACCACCACTTTTCCAGGGATTGAGGTAACTGACTCACTTAGGTGTCTCACTGGGAATGATTTTACAGGCAGGAGAGAGACACTGAAATGCTCTCAGAGATGATGACTGTTCTTCACAGCCATTATGCAGCTTCACTGATTTTACAGATTAATTTATTAAATAACAGCAAAGCTTGGGAATGTAGGGAAAATAATGTTCAAGTGAGAATTTCTCCAGTATTTACTTGTAGGTCATTGTTCATAATGAAGAAAGTATAGAAGTATAATTAAGAATTTCCAGTAGAACCTAACTAAGTGCTTGAGAGCACCCTTTCTAGAGAATATTATTTTTTTTTATTAAAAAACAATCTCTCTAAGCAGAGCGTATACAGAAATTTCCCCGACTGTCAGACGTGGTCATTCGGGTCAAAACAGAAGCAGCTTCTGAGATAACTGTTGACAGTTGCGGCAGACAGGCGCGGTGAGAACCCCGCCACACACCTGAACCGAGGGCCGATCCTATGGCAATGGCGCGTGCGCCTCGCCGAGGGCAGCTGCGCGCGCATGGGCCGGGCCGGGCCGGCGCCGGAAGCGGCGGGGGTGGGAGATTAAAGCGCCGAGCAGGGCTGCTGCTGCTCCCGGCTGTCTCCGCCGCTGCTGCCCCACGTCCCGCCCGCTATGGATGCGCGGGCCCGTGCCAAGCGCTACGAGAAGTTGGACTTCCTTGGGGAGGGGCAGGTGAGCGACGGCGGCGGGGGCCGCCCGCGGCCCTGGGGCTGCAGTAGCCCGGCTGGCCCGACCCGTGTCGCCGCCCGCCCCCGGCAGGAGGGGGACGCGGGGGAGGCCGGGCAGTGCCCACCCCGGGCCTGAGCGGGGCTTGGCGGCTTCTTCCTCGCGCAGTCTGTCAGGCCCCGCTCACGACAGCATCTCTCTCTGTCCTAGTTTGCTACCGTCTATAAAGCCAGGGACAAGACGAACAACCGCATCGTGGCTATTAAGAAGGTAAGTGTCAGAATGTCTTCTCAGTGTGTCACCAAGTGTCTGGTTGCTCTTGACCTACCCAACGACTTTTTTTTTTTTTCACCGACTTGATGGTAAATGGCATAATAAGCGTTTCTGTTTCTAGAGAAATTTGTTTAGATGATCTGGTTAACCTGTTTGTAATGCCCACCCACCGCTGAAGAGGGAGTGGCTTTGCTACCTTTCTGAGTTTCTAAAGGGTTGTATGGTCTGTGACTTGAATTTCTGGTTATTTGTTGAGTTTATTCAACAAACAAACCAACACACACGTATTTCCAAACTGCAGACTTTACTGTACCTTGATAGTGTTTTGGTATTTTTTTTTTTATTTTATTTTAAATCTTTCCTGCTTCTATGCCCAATTTTCTTCAGTCCAGAATGTTATCCTCTATTAAGTTCCTTTAAATTTATGGAAGCATAGAATATGCTGAGTTGGAAGGGATGCATCAATGTCATCAAGTCCAACTCTCATTCCTGTGCAGGACAATGCAAGAATCATGCTATATGTCTGAGATAATAGTCCAAACACCTCACAGCTTGTTGCCATGGCCACTACCCTGGTAAGCCTGTCCCAGTGCCCAGCCCCTCTGGATGAAGAATCTTTTCCTAATATCCAACCTAAACCTCCCCTGAATCAGTGCTGTTAGCTCAAGTCCTGTAATTTTTAGACAGATGGTTACCTGAACAATTGAATTAGCAAAACCTTGTTTCCTGTAGCTTTGTCTATTGAGTGTGGCATCTCATGTTGATCATAAATAATTATCAATTTCTAATAAATACCAAAGTGGCAAGCAGCATCTCTGTATTCTTCCTGTGTCACCTGACCCTGCTTCCGTTGGTCATATACCTTCATTTTTTACCTTATATTCAAGAGGACATCCGTCCTTAGACAAGTTGGCCTTCTGCCTCATCTGCTTCACTTGTGACATGGGAATTGCCTGCTCTTATGCCCTTAGGAGGTGATGCATCAGGGCAGCACTGATGGATCCCAGCACCTGCAAAAATGTTTTCCCAGGGGACTTCACTTAATAATTCCCTGAGCAGCCTGAAGTCTGCTCTCGTCACATCCAAGGTTGAAGTTTTACTGGTACTTTTCTACTGTCAACAGTGATTTTAAACTCAATGGCTTTGTGATTACTGTGGCCAAGATGGCCCAAATTTCCACTTCACTCATGAGATTCTCTCTGCTGACAAGCAGCAGATCAAAGGTGACATGTTTTTGAGTTGGCTCCCTTAGGACCTTTTCCACAAAGTTGTCGAGGTTTTTAGGAATCTTCTGGCCCAGACTGTAGTGTTATGTGATACTTCCAGTTGATTTTTGCCAAGTTGAAGTCCACCATAAGGACAGGGCAGTTGATTTAGAAGCATCCCTTATTTTCTTAGAGAAGAATTCACTGGTATCATTGTCCTCACTGGGAGGTCTCTAGCAGACTCCCACAATGATATTCACATTATTTGTCTCTTATCCCTATTCAGAGGCTCTCAACTGCACCATTGCCAGCTGTGAATTTGTACATTCCAGCCATTCCATTACATATGATGCCACCCCCCTGCCTCTTCTGTCCTGTGCACATCGCCTGAGGAGCCTGTGGCTGCCCAGCAGGGCACTCCAGTCACCAGGTTTCATTTAAGTCAATGATATCAAATCTCTGGGACTGAGTCAAAGCTTTGAGCTCCTCTTGTTTGTTCCTCATGCTGTATATATTGATAGAGGAACATCTCATACTTCGTAGCCAACACCTCATGAAGCAGGTTGAGGTGGCCCATCAGTGTTCCTTTGCTCAAGTTTTGACACACCATCCCACTGATCATCACTGGCAAGCCAGGTATTTTCCTTTTCTCCCTTCCAAGCCAGTTTAAAGGTCTGTCAATGAACCCTGCTAGCTCCTGTGCTGGAGCTCTTTTTCCACTCTGAGAAAAGTGCAACCCATCAGGTGTCAGTAGAATGGGTGTTAAATCATTCCATGGTCAAAGAACCCAAAGTTTTTCTGATGACAGCAACCTCAGAGTCACATGTCAATCTGATGAATCTGCCTATTCCTATCAATATTATTTCTTGATACCAGGAGGATTGAGGAAATCACTACATGTGCGCCGTATCCTTCTATCAATTGTCCTGGGGCCCTGAAGTTGCTTTTGAGTGCCCTCAATCTTTTATTTGTTACTGCGTTGCTACCAGCTTGAACAACCAATCATGAATTGTTTGTTTGCTTACAAAATGATGAAAATGTTTACGTTGTCATAAAGTGTTTGACTTGTTATTATATGAAGGGATTGCAGGAAGTTTTTGTATTAGAAATGGGTCTTGAACTGTTCTTTGTAAGGGATGAAAAATCATGTTACAGTGGTTTCTTCAAGACTCAACAGGTTGAATTGTGTCAATAGTAAGTAATATTGTTTAATGCACTGATCCCTTTTAGCATTGCAGTACTTCTCTTGTATGGTTGCTACGGGTAGAGGCTATGGTGATTCTTTGGCATTCTTTGTCGTATCAGAATATTTTCTTAACTTTTATCATCTGGAAATATCCATGATAGGATTCTGGATTTGAAATTTCAGGGCATTAGATGATTGAGACAAAAGGACCTAGAGTCAGCCCAAGTTTACAGCCTATGCTAATTTTACTAGAATCATTCTAAGATAACTGTCAATTACATAGCTCTCATTTCTCCCTGAGGAGAAGCTCATTAGTGATATAATAAAACTTCATGACTACAAAGCATTTTATGCTGTTGGTTTGCATTATGTCTGTTTTTAGTGCATCATGGCTATTCTTTAAAAACTAATGCTGTAGAGACAGTTATTTTTTTAAGGGGGAAATAAATCCCAATTAAAGCCATCCCAGCTGGTAAAGAGCTTCATTATACTAAAACTCTATACTAAAGTATACTAAAGCAATACTAAAAAATGTATTCTCCACCATCTTAATCTTACTTAACATGAAATATTTATTTTCAGATTAAACTGGGGCATAGATCAGAAGCTAAAGATGGTGAGTTTTAAAACGAATGCTATATAAGCGGTACTTTGTTTGCTTTGTTTTTGTGAATTGATACATTAACTTCTCATGCCATTGGCTGAGAAAATTGAGCTCAATGCCTGCTGTAAGGTTTAGTAGAGTTTTGCTTCACAAACTGCAGGGACAACCAAAAGCAACATAGATATGTGCATGTATGGTATATGTCCAAATATGAGTATATAACTTCTCAATATTTATGGAATTCAAACATGAATAAAGCATAGAATTATAGTAATATTAACAAGCTTAGAATATCTTTTTGCATCAATACATCTCTATGCCTTAAATATTTGAGATGAGTGAGAGTATTTGTATCTGTTTTCAGATGTTTCCTTTGTTCTATTTTTGTGATGTGTTCAGAGGCAAAAGTGGATAAAAACAAGATCAAAACTCTTGATTTTTTTTGTCCTTTTTTTGATGTTCAGCCCTGTAGAGGATGTGCTCTGACTAACCCTCTGCCTCTAGGTGTGGATATGGCAAATTGCAACCAAGTAATCTTGGTCTTCTCTTATTCCGTGTGTGGTGCAACAGAATTTTTTTTGTGTGCAGGCTGCTGTCCTTCAGGACTTCTTCATCAGGTTACCAGCTTTCCAGTGAAGAGTCTTGGCTATCAACTCTCCAGTTCCTTTCTTTTGATGACAAACTGATCACGCATCCCAAAATCTCGCAATTGAACTGGTTGCCTGACAGTCGTGATCCACTTGGCCTTCAGTGGCCTAATGGCCCTTAGGACAGTCATTACTTTTGGCTTCTACAGAGCCTAGCTGTAGGTGAAAGATGTTATTAAGAATAATGATCATATCTGTTTTCCCTGTGTTATCTGATAACATGGCATGCTCTTTGTTTTCATCTAAGACTATGCCCACCCAAAAGCAGCCTTTGTTAATTTGATTCCAAAACAGGCAAAGCAGGAATGTAAAGTAAACCATGTAGCTTAGCCCAGAAATTTGATAATCTTAGCATTGAATCATATCCCAGGTTTTAGGAGAACACTTTTTCAGCGCATGTGCAGCTGCAACTGCCTGCATGATACACCACAGGAGCATTTACTTGCCAGTTTTCATACAAGCCAGACATACTAGCATTTTTGAAGGAGGAATTGGTACCCTGAAGGAATTGTGGTTTGATGCAGTGCCATGAGTGTGACTGCTGAAGGGCACAATTTGCTCCCTGTTGGCCCCTGATTTTTCCTCTATAAAATCTGGTTATGAAAAGATTCAAGTAGGAGTAAGCAGATTTTGGTCACTCTATACCTTATATATGCTTATATATGCTATCCCTTATATATGCTACACCACGAGTGTAGAAAAACATGTGCCTTGCATTATTAGATAATGCTGTGTCAAAAAGAAAAGAGATTTATTCATGATGTTTGACAGTATGCCTCCGGAAGTGAGACATGTTGAGGGACTGATGTTTGCAAGATCAAGCTTTAAAATTAAAGCAAGTCTTCCAATACCCTGAAAAAGGTGATTTTTTTTTTTATTTTTAAATTCCCCACCCCCTCGGGACTTTCCCTTTTTGCTAAAATAAAGACATGTTTCTACATAATCTAAGCTATATTACAATGGTGTAAATGGACTTGCTGTGGAAGAAAGTGTTAGCCTGCTTTTATTTTACAGCAATTTATTTAGTTATGGCAATGTCCTTGTTATTTAGCAAATTGTCAAGTGTTAAGAATGTAATTTGTAGTAGCAAATAGTCCATGAGTAGCAGAATGACAGGTTTATTTGGAGTTTAATCTGAAGGTTTTGTTTTGTTCTTTCATCTTCTTTTCTTGTTTCCATCAATACAGGAATTAACAGGACTGCCCTCAGGGAGATAAAACTGTTACAGGAGCTAAGCCATCCAAATATTATTGGTGTAAGTAAAATAAATGCTAGTTATAGCATCAATCTTTAAATACTTTCAGTAGTTCAGTAATTATTATGGCAATGTGCCTGTTTCAATAACCAAGGCAAAGTATTTTTTTTTTAATCCTTTTAGTTTTAAGCCTGGGTCTACATAGATACTAATGGTGGAAGAATTGTAAAAATATAGATCACTTGATTTTACATCTCTGATAGAACTGCTAATGAACACAGTGCTGAATTTACGTGATTGCTTCATATGGAACTGGTGACAGTCAAAAAGCAGGAATTTTAAAGCAATGGAAAAGGTGAAGTCATGTGGCTTATTAGTCATGTGCTTATTTTAGCACACAGATACAATGTTTAAAATCGGTTTTGGAAGGAGTGAAACTGGTATCTTTTCAGTTTCAGTTACATTTTAGTAGACATACACCTACACATACCCAGCTGGAGCTAAAGACGTTTTAAAGTTAGCTCATAGTGATAATTAGAAAGTGCCAAGTAGGAATAAGTACATGAAATACAAATTTTCCATATACTTTTCAAAGTGGAAATATGGTTCTCTTCTAGATTGTTAACCTATTTGCAAAGTGATTGCTTTAGCTGTTGAGGTTAGAGAATATGCAGAGGTTGACAACTAAAATGACAAAGGGATGGAGCATATTCTTTATGAAAAAATAAGGAATTCATTATTTTGGAGGTGGAAAGGCTGGGAATAGGGAGCTAAAACCAAGGTGATAGGTGGTGTCCGTACAGAACTGGTATTTGCAAATCCCATTGTCCAAGAAATAAGAGATGTAGCAGGAGTGGAAATTGTTACTGTGTGTAATGAATTTACAGGATGTTTTGCTGTGGGCCATGTAGAAGCAAGTGGCATCAACAGTTCAAAAAAAGGTTAGATAAAGTTATGATCATGAGTTCCATAAGCAGGTTCTAAAAACAAGAGACAGTGTTGTGCCCCTCTTCATAGTCCTTACAAAACTTTCATGGGTTTTGGGAGTATAAAAGGGCACAGTCACTGCTGTTATGAACTATTCAAACAAATATCTTGCTATTTGAGAATTCATGTCATGTCATCACGCTGAGACTAAGGAATGAGCTGCACCAGGGAGAGCATACCTTGGTCATCTTGAAGGAAGAATACCAGGCTAGATAATCTCTCGCTTTTGCTCAACATCATGCTTGGGTTATCTCAAATTAGAAATTGATTGTGTCGTTACACAGCTTTATCCTAAGAAAGGGCTGTTTGGATGTTCCCCAAAGAGTTTTATTTCTCTTGGAAAGCTAGCTACAAAAATGAATAGTCATCTAAAAATATCTGAAGCTAATAAGCCTAACACTTAAAATTTCTGAATACTGTATGCTTACAGGAAGCAGATATACAGAGCTGAATCCATGGGCAAGCTTAGTCTTGGCTCAACAAAGGGTAGGAGTTTCATAGAACAGCAAAGTTTTGAAGACAAGGTGTGCATTACATTATCTGTTGTAGTCAACATGATAAAATTAATTTTTTTGCTTTTTTCCTATCTCCGGGAAGGAAGGGCAATCACGTAAAAGGTTATTTCCATGCTTAATGGGGATTTTTTTCTGATTTGGAAACTGGGTTAAGAAGTTAGACTGAGTAAGAATCTTTGTGTTATAAGTCAAAAAACTTAAACCGGTTCTCAACAAGCTGAAAATCCATGTGCAGGCTACAATAGTGTTGAATTTCAGAAAACTGGAAGAATCAGAGCATGCTTAATGATAATGTATTTTGTTCGCAGCTTATTGATGCATTTGGACACAAGTCAAATATTAGTTTGGTATTTGATTTTATGGAAACAGATCTAGAGGTAAGATTTTTAAAGACTTTTTTACTTTAGTATCTTAAGATGGTTTATGAAAGTGCTGTCTTGACAGGCTTTTGCTTATATTAGAAAGGTGACTTTTATTATACCATTTGATGAAGATCATGTCTTAGAAGTAGCTTGAATAATTTCAGGTTTTATGAGTTCTCATTTGATTAATTCCTTTACTTTTAAATATTTATCAGCATGATCTTAAAGAAACAAATTGTGTTTACTGTGTTAGTTTTCTGGAACTCCAGTCAGAGTGCAGAACCTCTGGCACAGATCATTGCTTCTGGAATGCAATTGGTAAGCATAATTGCAAACATGTTCACATAAGTGTGACACTAAAATACAGCAAGAGATGAGCTGGTAGTAAAATCAGATGCACTAAAAACATATTTTCAAATGTAGCAATGCTAGATAATTGCAAATCGGTATCTTATAGATACAGGCATGCTGAAATTTAGAGTAATTCAAGACTTGGAAAGATTAGGTCAAATTTTTGCTAATAGAAGTCAGCAGTGAGTAGACTTTCAGAGGATTCATTCTGTTTACATAGTAGCTATGCAAAATTTAGAGATACAGAAGATCAGTGTACAAATTAAAATTAAATACTCTTGTACTGATGACACTGAGGTGTGCAGTCTTTAAACTGTATTGTGGTATCACTCAAGCTGCCTCTGAGACTTCTGCCTGTTTTGATTAAGCATATGCTGCATACATGGAATTTGTGCAGTCTTAGATTTTCTGCAACTCAGCTTATGGAACACCATTACTAAACAGGACAGCAGTATTAACAAACTAGCTTTGGGGTGTTTGCATAGAATTTTAATGTTAAAAACCAAAGAATGTAGAAAACAAGTATATTTTTAAAAATACAGTAAAGTGACCATACCCTCTGGTCTTTTTGGGAAATAGAAGAGGGAACCATTGTGTTTACAAAGATTAGTTACTTAGGTTGCAGACAGAAAGAGGGAATAAGTGGAAACATAATTTCAAGTTTACCAACATATTTATCATTTGTATGTGTACGTCTTTATCCTGGAAGTTTGGGTATCAACATGGAACTGAGATTAAATACTAACTTATTGTTTCCCACACAGTTTTTCATTGTCAGCTTATGCAAAGTTCACTTAAGCTATCTGGACTCCCCATTTCAATTTCTGATCTCCAGAACCAACCTCTGTTTTTCTGGAAAAACGGTGAAATGGTAGAGAACATGTGACTGACAATTTGAAGCCTATCTTAAAGGCTGAAATAACTTTTGAGCTGAATGAAAGGAAGTAAGTTTGTCTTATGTGCTGAGCTTTACTGTGACTTTAACGCTTTGCAGGTTATTATAAAGGATACAAGTATTGTGTTGACGCAGTCTCACATCAAGGCATATATGTTGATGACACTTCAAGGATTAGAATATTTACATCAGCATTGGATTTTACACAGGGTAAGCATGTACTAAATTGACAGCCTTCATCCTGCAACAAAAATCACATTGGGTGGATTTGGAGTCTAAAGCCTAATGAGGGTCGTTTTGGAATTCAGACATTCCTGGGGTTTTTAAATTTTTTTGCTCACAGTGAAGGTTTCAGGACAGAATCATATCTTTCATTTTACAATACTTTTATGACATACCTGCCAGGAGATTTATTATATTATAGGTCTAATTTTATCAATACTGTCAAATCTCAAATTTGTTTCCTCTACTGACAGGATCTTAAACCAAATAACTTGTTGCTAGATGAAAATGGAGTTTTAAAATTGGCTGACTTTGGCTTGGCAAAATCTTTTGGAAGCCCAAATAGAGTTTATACACACCAGGTAGTAACAAGGTAACACATTCTATTTTGTTTCTTACAGAGATTGTTTAATTGTTGTATAGGTGTTTCTTGAAGTATGTCATGTCAAATCAATGTATTCAGGGTGACATCTGCTCATGTGATGTGGCAAGAGCCACATAAAAAAACGACAAGGAAGCACTGTTTAATGAAGTCTCCATAAGAACTGCTTGAGTATGCATCTGTGGGGGTGGTTCTCATATCTATCAAAATGATATACTTTTGAAATGTGTGGAAATAGTATGTATCTGCTTATAAGCCTGGATTTTGGAGCAAGACAGCTGCTACTTTCTGCTAATCACAAGACCTAGAACCATTTTTGGAGCTAGTTACATTACCTATTTTGAGACAAACCCTTGAACCAATTAAAATGTTTTTAAATTTTTTTATGGCAAGCTTATTTAAGGTATGCTATAAAAAATGGGGCTGCAAAATATGCAGTGTGTTGCTTTCTGACTGCTGTGATGCTAAAACTATTCAAGCAAAGCTGATATAATGCCTTTTGAATAAAGACAGAAGTTCTACAGTGTCAAATGCAGTGTCATTAAACTTCATTAAACTAGATTGTTCATAGGCAGTGTGAGTAGTTTCAAAACAACAGACTCATTTTGCATAAAAGTGGTCTCTATACTTGGTTCTGTTGATACAGAGATTCTTGGAAGATGAGAGGAATTCTGTCTTGCTGTGATTCATTCAACATAAAATTTTAAGAAAATTTCAGTTTACCTGCATGTTAAGAATTTTCTTTCTTACATGTCTGCAGTTCGATACTTGTAATCAAGTCAGCTGAAACTGCAGTTAATCTGTGGTTGTATGTGACCCTATTGTGAGGGTGCAAAAATTTGTTCATTCTTTCTTAAACAAAGCACTTTGCAGAATACAGCTTTTCGATGTCTGAAAAGTATATAGGCAAAAGAAAAGTAATATCTTTTTTTTTAGCTTTTGCATTGCTACAATATGTAGCAGTTGATAGGAGCAAAGCCAGGTAATTCTTCCAAAATGTGTTTTCTTTTCAGATGGTACCGAGCGCCAGAACTGTTGTTTGGGGCTAGAATGTATGGTGTTGGTGTTGATATGTGGGCTGTTGGTTGTATTTTAGCCGAATTGCTCCTCAGAGTAAGTATTGAAATGTTTACATTTTGTATTTGCCCTTCCATTCACTACGGCTTTTTATGGGTCTCCTGGTTTAGGGCAAATTTTGGGAGGAAACCTCCAAAAGGGTTCCCTCTAGAAAGCAGGTTCAAGCGGCCCTTCCTGCTACTGGTTTGGGAAAATATTTCCTTCAAGAAAAATGGAAAAAATCCTGTTTATTAAACAAGCAAAGTTTAATTTTTTAATTTTTTAATTTTTAATTTTAATAAGCATGAAAAAACAAGTAATATTGAATAACTCGCATTGTTCTGAAGAGGTGGCAAATTCAGAAAGTCCTTTTTGTGGGGTGTAACTCTGCTCGCTCAGTCTCTTATCCATCCCTCCTGTGCTGGAAAATGCCATGTTCTGGGCCCTGGTGGGCCACAGGCATGAGTTCCTGGTGTTTTTCTGTGTTTTTCAGTCCACAGTAGGTTTGAACAGATCCAAGAAAAAGAATAAAAAACAGATACAAACATCATAAAGTCACCTCAGGACATTCCTCCCCTTATCCCCGTATCATCAGCTTATTACAAAAGTTAATATATATTCCAACTCTATACACACACATTCATATATAGTCACACATATATAGAGTATACAGCTATATACAGACAATGGCAATGACATTCAGCAAACAGTGATATTTATTCATGGTTCTCACCCAACAATCAGATCTCCCTGAGGTACGCATTGTGTTCTATCTTTCTGCATTATCCACCATGTGCAACCTGGTCCCTGAGCAAAGACAACCCCATGGATGGGTTTGTCGATACTTGAGGCAGAATTCAAACTGTCTTTTCTAACAAACCGCTGACATATACCACTGGGACTTTATCTCCATCTGCTGTATGCAGGGGCTCAGACTGGGCAGGGCTTGCTTGGTTGGTGGAACCTTGGGTATTCACTAACCATGTGGCCTTTGCTAGATGCTGCTCCCAATTTTTGAAAGATCCCCCACTCAGTGCTTTCAAGGTGGTTTTTAACAGTCCATTGTATCTCTCCACTTTGCCTTTAGCTGGTGCATGGTAGGGGACATAGTACACCCACTCAGTGTTGCATTTCTTAGCCCAGGTAAGAGCTTGATAAGGCTGTTCTTGAAATGAGTCCCATTGTCTGACTCAATCCTCTCAGGGGTACCATGCCTCCAAAGGACCTGCTTTTCAAGGCCCAGGACGGTGTTTCGGGCTGTAGCATGAGGCACAGGGTAGGTTTCCAACCATCCAGTGGTGGCTTCTACTATTGTGAGCACCTAGCGCTTGCCTTGGCGGGTTTGGGGCAGTGTGATGTAGTCAATCTGCCAGGCCTCCACGTACTTATAGTAGGACCATTGCCCACCGTACCATAGCGGCTTCAACCTCTTGGCCTGCTTGATCGTGGCACACGTCTGACAGTCATGGATAACCTGAGAAATGCTGTCCATGGTTAAATCCACCCCTCAGTCTCGTGCCCACTTATAGGTGGCATCTCTTCCCTGATGACCTGAGGTGTCATGGGCCCATCGAGCTAGGAACAACTCTCCCTTGTGTTGCCAGTCTAAGTCTGTCTTTGACACCTCAATCTTTGCAGCCTGATCCACCTGCTCATTGTTTCGGTGCTCTTCATTAGCCCTGCTCTTGGGGACATGGGCATCTACATGACTGACTTTCACAGACAGTTTCTCTACTCTGTTAGTGATGTCTTTCCATTTATCAGCAGCCCAGATTGGTTTTCCCCTACGCTGCCAATTGGCCCTTTTTGGCCTTTCCAACCATCCCCACGGAGCATTGGCTACCAAACATGAATCAGTGTAGAGGTAAATCTTTAGCCAGTTCTCTCTTTCAGCAATGTCTAGGGCCAGCTGAACAGCTTTGAGTTCAGCAAGTTGGCTTGATCCACCTTCTCCTTCAGTGGCCTCTGCGACCTGTCGTGTGGGGCTCCATATGGCTGCTTTCCACTTCCGGTTCATCCCTACAGCGTGGCAGGAAGCATCAGGAAAAAGAGCGTAGCGTGTTTCTTCTGCTGGTAATTGGTTGTATAGTGGAGCTTCTTCATCACTTGTTCTTCCTCATCAGTGAGACCAAAATTTTCACCTTCATTTTCACCTGCAATTATTTCCAAAATCTCAGGGTGATTCAGTTTTCCAGCATGGGTGTGCTATGTGATGAGGGCAATCCACTTGCTCCATGTGGCACTGGTGGCATGGTGGGTGGAGGGAACCTTTGCTCTAAACATCTACCCCAGCACTGGTAGTCGGGGTGCCAGGAGGAGCTGTGCTTCTGTGCCAGCTTGGACTCCTTCATAGGCAGCTAAGATTTCCTTCTCTATGGGAGTGTAGTTGGTTTCAGACCCTCTGTAGCTTTGGCTCCAGAATCCCAGTGGTCAGCTCAAGTCTCCCCAGACACTTTCTGCCAAAGGCTGCAGGACAGACCGTGGCTCCTGGCTGCAGAGTAGAGCACATTCTTCACATCTGGTCCTGTTCTGACTGGGCCAAGGGCTGCCACATGAATGATCTCCTGCTTGATCTGGGCAAAGGCTTGTTGCTGTTCAGGGCCCCACTGGAAAGTGTTCTTCTTGCAGGTGACCAGGTAGAGAGGGCTTATGATCTGGCTGTACTCAGGAGTGTGCCTAAGAAAGCTTGCATTTCCTTCTTTTTGGTTGGTGGAGACATTGCTGTGATCTTGTTGATGACATCGGTGGGAATCTGATGCTCTCCATCTTGCTACTTTACTTCCAGGAACTGAATCTCTTGAGCAGGTCTCTGAACTTTGCTCTTCTTGATGACAAAACCAGCTTTCAGGAGAATCTGGATGATTTTCCCTCCTTTCCTCAAACACCTCTGCTGCTGTGTTCCCCTACACAATGTATTCATGAGGTCATTGAGTGTAATCCTTTCTTAGGCCATGAAGATCCTTCGGCCCCCTGCTCCTGCTCCTCCTCTGACAAACTGGGTGCAATTAGTAGTAAACCCCCAAACCATGCTACTGGAACTAAGATGCACGGTAGGACGAATATATACATATCTTCAACACACTCTAGTACCATTGTAAACTCCCTATCAATCATTATCACTGAGCTCAGCACAATAGGTATTCTAATCTGTGCCCCTCTGCTGTAAAAACTTCATGTTAGGCACAATACTGGTGCTATTTCTGGATAAGGAAATAAGCCTAGGGACCAGAAAGATATTAAAACCTCAAAAAAGCCTAGGGACCAGAAACAGATGAAGGCCTCAACCCAGAGAGACATTATGAGTTCAAGCAACATGGCTACCGCTTGCTTTACCCCAATACAGAGTTAAGTAAACCAAAATGCAATCAGTACAGGTTTTTTTCACTTTCTTGAGCCATGTACTTGGTGCCAAAAAATGTATTTGTCCTGGTTTAGGGTAAATTTTGGGAGGAAACCTCCAAAAGACATCCCTCTAGAAAGCAGGTTCAAGTGGCCCCTCCTCCTACTGGTTAGGGAAGAGATTTTCTTTGACAAAAGTGGAAAAAAACTGTTCATCAACAAGCAAAGTGTTCACAAGCATGAAAAATGAGTAATATTAAACAGTAAAAACTCTTGCTGTTCTGAAGAGATGGCGAATCCAGAAAAGTCCTTTTCATGGGGTATAACTTGGCTCACTCAGTCTGTTATCAATTCCTCCAGTGCTGGAATGCCACATCCCAGGCCCTGGTGGGCCACAGGCATGAGCTCCTGGTATTCTTCTGGTCTTTCAGTCCAGAGTAGGTTTGACCAGTTCAAAGAAAAAGAAAAAAAACAGTCCAGGGCACTTCTCTGCAGCAGCTAGAAAAGGAACTAACTAAAAAGCAAAGGAGAGCTCTCTCCTGCTGTCTGCCCATGCTGCAGACAACACAGTCCAGGAGCAGAATGTGGAGGAGTGAGTGCAGTTTCTGAAAACAGATTCTGTGCTTCTTTATTCTCCCGCTTCACTCTCAGAACCAGTCTTAAAGGTGCAGAACTTAATATCCAGCATAAAGAGAACATGATTTTAGTCACCCTAGGACAATAGGTTTCTTCTTTCCTGCTAAAAGTAGAAGATGAACACAGGCTAGAAGAAACTTTCCAGAAGCTTGTTAACTGTAAAGAAACTGTTTTTTTGGAATAGACTGAGGCTTCCTAAACATCAAAAGCATTGGTAGTCTTTAAAAATAGCTGGGTAAAAATGTTGCAAGAAACTGTTACAGTCTTGCCTTGGGAGAGTCAAGTAGGTAACTCTTGCAGTTCACAAACACATATTTTAGCTCACTACCCTCCTAGAAATGTAACATCGCAGATATGTGCATGGGCTGTCCCTTGTACCCAGGGTTCCTCAATTACAATCGCCAGTACCGTAATTGTGGATTTATTCAAAATGAATGGAAGACTAATGTTTTTGTAAACTGGTTAGTTGACAATACTGGAATGGATCTGAAGGTTAACATCAGAATAATCTTATGGCACTCCTCAGTGTGGCACACAAATGTGATGGTCCTTGAGTATTTTCTACTGAAGTAGAATATTTATTATACAAGTCTTTGGAGAAGACATTAAAGTGTGAGGGGAGCAGTGGAGGGTGGGCATACAGACATGGCTGAAGGCATGAAATAGCCTCCAGTATAATTTATCTTCCATGACTAAGTGGCTTCTGCTTGGTTTCTGCACCTTTGATTGATTTTGTGGACATATCATAACCAGACTGGAGAACGTTCTGTGTGAGAACACCATGAAAGAAACCTTTGCCTTGATTGGTTGCACCAAATGGGTGTGCTGGTTTAATTTGATTGGCAGTTCAGATATGAAAATGTACAGTGGGTCTTTAAGCAGCACTGGTGATGGGAACATAAATATGCATTAGACCTGCTAAAGTTGAATACATTTAATCAAAGTTAGTAAGCCAGTAATTCCTGAATTCAGTTGATTCTTTGGTTTGTCACAAAACAGAAAGTATATTATGGTTCAGTTTTTATCACTGATATTTTGAAATGTTTGTGTCCTTTTTCAGGACAGTACAACTTCTGGGAGCTTTCTATGGAAGCAGTTTATATTCAAGGGGCTTTCATGATGCCACAATTTAGTATGCTGTCTACTAGGGATATCCATTATGGTTTCTCTTTCCTAATTAATTAAACACTGCCTCTAATTTTTCATAAATTTGCTTTGTTCAACAAGTTTCTTTTTACTTGCATTGTGTGTCTGATATGTGAGCTAGAAGTTGGACTTTATATCCAGATACATACTTTTCACTCTTCTGCTTTGTTTAAATTATGAGATGCTGATCAGACAGTTTTCTATCCTAGTGGGTCTCTACTTTCCCTCATGCTTTGATTTCATTTCATTTGATTTGATTTCATTTCGCTGACTTGTGTAATCCAGTTATGGTTCACTTTAAATATATATAAAAGCTAACTCCAGAGAACAGGTGATGAAAAGATCACCATGACCAACTGACTTTAGGATGGCAACTGAGATACAAAATCTTTTCTGATTTTGTTTTGGTTTTTTTTGTTTTTTCCCCAGACTGATCTGGACTCTGAATTAAAGGGCTATACATGCTATGCATTTCCAGGTCCAGAGCATGGAGAAATTCCCAGCACATGCTATGAGTTTTAGTGAATTACTTTCTTTCATTAAAACTGAAATGGGCAGTGCACAATGACTCATGCAATAAAGAAAATACTAAACTGTACTGCAGATTTCAGAATGAAAATCAGTAGATTGCTTAAAAGAGTCCCTGTACTTTAATTTAACATAGCTGCAGATATTTTTTCCAGTTTGTATGGGTTCAGTCTGGAAGGCTAGTAGTCAATTTACATTAATGTGGTTGTGGTGTAATCTTATGTTTGAGCTGTCTGCTATCAATGATACCAAGCCTGGGTTCAGGAAACCTTCAGAACCTATTTGAGCATAACTACAATGCCTCAAATATCCAGTGTACCTATGTGGGGAGATGTTATACAGAGGGGTTTTGCCTTGCAATTATGAGGTATCACTCAAAGCTTCTTTCTAAAATTGAAGTTTAGAAGTTAATTCAATAAAATACCATAACTTTTTTCTAGGTTCCTTTTTTGCCTGGAGACTCTGATCTTGACCAGCTGACAAGGATATTTGAAACTCTGGGCACTCCAACAGAAGAACAGTGGCCTGTGAGTCTTTTTGTTTAACAGACTGACATTGGGTTTACTTGATACTCTCTATTTTAGCTCTTGAAATTAAATGGTTATACCAGAATAATTTAGTAGATTTTTCAGAAGGCAGTTGCTTTATCTCATGAGGCAGTTGAGATTTGTTTTTCTCTTGACAAACCTCTGGTCAATAGCAATAGTATCAACACTTCTTGGTTTCCTTTCTGCATGCACAGTTTCCCCTGGCTATTGGTGTGAGATTATTGTTGCTGCTAATGTTTTTGAGGTGCTTGTTTCATTACCATGCTTTAACCTGGAAGGCTTTAATCACTTTCTGAAGTAGGAACCTAAGTTGGCCTTGGTAAATTGTAGTTCGGGGACAGAAAAAACACAGACCAACAGCTTTAGGGATAAACAATTTGCCTCAATAATGATCCTGAAAAAAATACAACTTAGTACTACAATATCCTCTGAGATGGCAGCAAATTAATTAACACTAGGCCAAACTGACTATCAGGTCACACAGTGAGGTCCCTAACTATGGTTACTAAACAGTGACAGGGAGTGAGACATAATGTCTGATGGGCAACTTGTATCAGCTGCCAGACACAGGGAGTCCTGAATTCCCTGATCAGGCTGTTGTCTTTTGATGTTGAGTTGTGGAAGCACTTGCTGGACTTGTTCACCTCTGCTCCATCTCCATGCAGCTTTTCCTTATTGTAAATGGTGCTGGAATGCTATGGTATGTGATTACAAAATGGAGCTGTAGCCAAAAGGAGAACTTCTGTGTGAAGCACTGCTAACCCCCACACTTTTGGTATTTCTCCAGAATTCTTAGTGGAACACTTGAAGGTTTTTTACAATGACAGTTCTGCTTCCTTTAGAGAGGAAGATTTAAGATACAAGTGTGGAAGAGAGATGATAGGAGATGGGCCAACACAACAAAAATATTACATTCCCAATCTCATTTCCAAACACATACATTTAATAATTGAAACCTTTACTATCAAGACTATAGCTGATTGAACATTTTTTTGACTTTGTGTTAATATTTTATTTTACTTGGATGAACTTGATGTGACAACTAAGTCTTTAAATACTTAAAATACTACAAAAGCATTATGTTTGTGTAATTGTCTGTTACAATTGTAAGTATAATTTTTCTACTAGAATGTGAACACAGTGGGATTGATTTCATACCTAGAGGACAACAAAAGTATGCAGTTAATTTTTTGTTTAACTGCTTGGTGCATATTTTCCTTCCCTCCTCCCATTACCCATATAAAGTTTCAGTTGTGCATTTAAAATCAAAATGCACATGATGTTCAGCTAACTGAACATGAAGAGAAAGTGAAGATTGACCCTTTTGTAAACATTTTCTCTCCCACCATGTCAGTTCACTAAAGAAAGTTTTATTTCATTTGTCTGACCCAGTCTAAAATTCTTTTATACTTCGTTTAGCAGTTTTTCCTTTTGGACTGATCAGAACTAAAGCAAGGGAAGAACAGATAATTTGGAAAGTTGTTTCCCTGTAACTGTAACAGTTATAAAAAAAAAGTTTTTATCACCTACTATTCCTACATTTATTTTATTTCAGTGACTAAGTGTTAGCAATGTGTTTTGCAACATGATTTACTTCTGGTGAAAGCCATATGAAATTCCCTTTCTGTAAAAAGCTGAACTCTTTCTAGGGGAAAAACATACATTCCATTTTTGGTCTTTGTAGGGAATGACAAGTCTTCCAGATTATGTCACGTTTAAGCCTTTCCCTGGAATGCCACTTCAACATATCTTCAGTGCAGCTGGTGATGATCTGCTCAATCTTCTTCAAGGCTTATTCACATTTAATCCTTGCACTAGAGTAACAGCTACTCAGGTATAGTACCCTTGGTTATCTGCTAATGTTCATTAAACACTGTTAATATCAGATAAATGTGTTTTGAAGCCAATAAACCAGGTTTGAAATGAAACATCACATGAATTATTAGAAACATAATCCCAGTGTTTTTTAGAGAGAACTGTGAAAGGCATGGAGAATATTAAGTGATAATCTTCATTCCCAGTGTAGAGTCAAGGTAGACAACTAAAATGTGTATGAGCCATGACCTTCCAACAGTCATATTTGACATACTAAATCCAGTCACCTAAAACTTGAAGGTTAAATCTTAACATATCTTATCTTATTCCCTGGGATTGAAAGATTTTTCTTCTTCATTGTCTTTTAAACTTTTATGGTACTTTTTAAACATAAAATTCTGTGTTGATTAAACCATCATTCTTATCAAATTATCCTTTTCCATAATACTTCCAATTTCACTACCCCCTGGTGGGGAAAAACAAAGAACTTCGGAAAAAAATCTTGCAGAATGTCCTAGTTTGCAATACTGATTTCTGTGATGAGGAAGATACATCAGTTGGTAGTTAGAAAACTGTACTTCTGTCACTTTACAGTGATAGGGAAGCATGCAAGAAACATCTGTCCTCTTAGGACCAGGACTCCCTCATTGCTGGTTAGATCTGAACTCAGGAGATTATGTGTGTGTGTTACGTGTGAGTGTATGTGTTACATATTTTTACTAGAATACTTTTTTCAGAGCACATTCAGGCTGTTTTGGCCACCATCTTTAAGAACATTTGGTATAAGTTTCCAGATAATTAGTTCTGCTATGCTTGAGGTATGCTAGAGATAGTTCTGCTATCTCTGTGGTAGTTCATATGAATGAAGTAATTTTTCAGGTCATATTGTAGGGTAGTGACTTGAATATATATTACTCTTCTAGTCTAAAGTTTTTTGCGACAATGCCACAGTTTAAGACAGGAGACAACTCATACTTACTACATTGGTTTGATTTATAGCACGTAATTTCCATGAGTAGTGATTACCTAAAAGACAACCACTTTTTGTTAATCACACTTCATGGTTCCTAAAATTTAAAGGTATGTAATTCCACTACACTAAACTAATCTTGCTGACTAGTGTTGCCTTCTCCCCTAATACAAATGATGTCTTTCTCACAGTTTACAGGGTAGAAACAGCATGGGTGTTTCACACACACAGTTAAAGAAGTATCGGGGAAACACCCATCTTAAAAGCTAACAAAACAGCTAATGTTCAGATCTTAAATCTGATCAAGACTTCAAAAATATTCCTTTAATTTTTCTTTATTCCTACTTTATTTTTATCCTCATCTCATCTGATCTGTCTATTCAGATCAGATTCTATTCTAGAAGCCACTTATTCAAGACTTCTTATAAAATAATCTAGTTTTGTCAGGATGTCTGAGCACTAGTTAAAAATAGGAGTACACAATTATCCCTCGCTTCACAGATCCATGTGGGGTGAACAGTAATTGTGAACTCAATCTTCATTTGCCCCAATGCCACCCTGCAGTATAAAAGTGTTAAGTAGCTTTTAAGTCCTAATTTAAAGTGCTTTGTTTCACTGTAACCTCTTTACAAATGACACTATTACTGGTTTCTTTTTCTTTAATTATCATTAAGGCATTGAAACAGAAATATTTCAGTAACCGACCAGGACCAACTCCAGGAAATCAACTGCCAAGACCCAACTGTCCTGCAGAAGCTGCAAAGGAGCAACAAAATTCTGTTTTAAATTTAAAAAGGAAAAGAACAGAAGGAATAGATCAAGGTAATTTCATAATGTCACCATTTTTAAATAGGAGCTACATGCTCAGAGAGAATGGGACACTTCCAGTGTTTTAGAAGAAAAACTCTAAATGAACTAATTCCCTGGGCACTGGGAGCCCTTTAATGATATATGGTTTGGGGTCAGAGTTCTATGTTCTAACAGAATTAGCACAAAAAAGGCTGTTCACTGATGGTTAGGAGTCTATTAGAAGAAATAACCCTATTCCATTGATTTCTGCAATGGACAGTGGTACTCCCCAGTAAATTATAGGGTATTATGATGAACCTTTTCTTTTTTCATGTTAACTAAAGGACAGGAAAAAGAGAGAAATGCTTCCTTGATTTTCGTGACTTAATGATTTGAATTCATGCATTTGACAATGAGAAGAGTTTCCCTAGCTGTATCAAGCTAGAACAATAATTGCTTTAACATCTTTCCAAAAGTCTCATCTTCAACAAGAGGAAATCGTGTTTCTCTGTAAATGATAGATGTTTGGAGATTGGCTATAAATGAGGCATTAAAGAATTCAGCATTACTTTTTGAGACCTTTCAATATTGGTATAAAAAGCAATATAATTTCTAGCAGCTGGAAATGGAGACATGATGTATTTTCTAATGTGGATTTTCCATAATGTTCTCTTACTGCTTTAGCTGGGCTGACAGAACCAGAAGGTTTCAAAGGTAGATCCTCTAGTGCCAACAAATTTTAAAGGAGACAGCCAATGATAGAGCTAGAAAATCTGCTGCCCTGGATTTCATTTGCTATTCTTACATGGTATTACCATCTAAATTTAAAATCTGAATAGTGATTTGGAAGACTAATGCTCTAGTCTTGGTTAAAATAGAAATTTGAAGGACAGCTTTGGTATAGGGGGTGGAAATATGCAAATGTAATTTCCAAGAAAAATAAGTTGCATTCCCTGAAATTCCTACAATGGCCTTTCATCCTGCAGAGCACATTTCTTTCCCCTAGCCCTGTAGACATAGCACTCCTGAACTTGGCAGTATAAACTGACTGCTCACTGATGGGTATTGTCTTCAAAAATATTGGCACCAGGAGCTGACTGCTGGGATAAAGATTCATGCCATCCCTGTATGTCCTGCTTTTCCACAAGAACAAATCCCTGTAGCCTGTGGGGTGTGTTCACCAAACTTAAATACTAATAAAACAGCCTCTATTCTCAGGGGAAAAGTCTTTCACTAGATGGATGACTGCCTGTGAAAAGTATTAAGCATACTACTACTTATTTCTGATCAGTGAGATTTTTGGAGACGCTGATTCTGTGATGACATAACTGCCCATCTCCTCTCTGTCACTTAACCAAAAGCAGCTCTGGTTCCCCAGAACACCTATTTCTGGTCCTATTAATATACATTCCTATAGCCTGTAGCTACACAACAGGGATTATAAAGGATGGTGCACCAAAGTTTTTCCTATGTTAATTCAGCATAAGGAATCTAATTTCAAAACTATTGGTTTGAAAAAAAAATAAAAAACATTCTATTCATATTTAAGATTAAGAATTATGTCCTGGATAGCACATAAGAAAAATCCTTAAGAGAGAGTGTGTGTGGTGGGACAGGTTTAAGCCTTAGAACAGCTTGCTTTTCTTAGGTTTCAAAGTAGAATTAGGTGGTTAGTTTTTCATATCAACAGTTGACTGGTTAGGTTTTTATATGAACAAAGAGAAATATTTACATGTATCCAAAATGCAATTAAAACTTAATTACAGAATTTGTGACTTTTGGAATATACATACTGAGTCAAGTGAACTTTGATTCTAGCACTCTCTCATAGATTTATTAGAAAATTTCATCATGTACTGCCACTGATGTAAACAGCATTTAGCAGTTAAGAGTAGATGTACCTTGAGAATGATATCAAACCTCGAAGAGGGGGCTGGACCTCTATACTTTGCTAACAATGTGATTTACACTTTACAGGATTACCAAAAAAACTGATTTTTTGATTGCTGTGGATGATGAATGAAAACGAGTGAAAATTCCCCGAGTCTCAGCCATTGATAAAATGCTGTAATAGGCCCTGGATCATTATTTTTCAATATTTTCATGTGTAAAATATGAATTTACTATTTCCTTACTGACACAAAAGTTTCATTAATCCTTCTTTTTACAATAAAAATGTTTGTAAGAAAAAAAGATTTTTTTAATCTGGTTTGCTGTCTTGTTGTTTGAGTCATGCTCTCAGACAATAGCTGTCAAAGCTGCTTGCAGGCTACAGGTGTACACAGACTAATTTTACAGAACCTCGGTGCTGAGTCACATGCTATTCTAATATGTATCCTAAGGGCGAAGACTACAAATAGCATTTTCTTCTCACATGTAGCTTAGATGAACATATGTCTGTCTTCCAGACCGATAATAAAAATGTAAAAATGTAAGGAAAGGGTAGGGGTTTTTTTGTTTCAGTTAGTAGGCTCAAGTATTAAGAAACTAGTTTGCATATACTCTCACAGCAGTCGTGGATTAAGACTTCTCCAAACACAGACCCACTGCCTTGAAAATCAGTATGAAGCGTAGATAGAATGTGAATTGTTTGGAGGGGTTTTTTTTCCTATTCCAGTCTTGCAGGAGAAGTTACCTGTAACATGGAAATACTGTTTCCTTCAAAACCTTGAAGATTGCAGTGAGAGACAGAGGAGGAAGATCCAGCTGGGGAAACTACAGTATACTAATCCTGTCAGCGTGTGTCTGTATAACAATCCATAGTGCAGACACTGGGCTCATCTTTGCCTGAATTCCAGTATGGAGAGGTAGCAAAGTTTCTGCTGGGTAACCAAACTTCTGCAGTGGAGGGAACCAAGCTTACGTATGCTGTTGCTGAGTCTTAACTGTGTGCCCACTGCTGTTGTGCAGTGGATCTCAGGGAAGCCTGCTGAGCCATTGTCATCTTCTGCCTTTGAACCATATTCAGTACTCTCTTTTCTAATTTTGCAGCAAGTGCAGTAGTGCAAGACTTGGAGGCTTGTAGAGGAGCAGCAATGCTCATGTGTTCCTTCATTTTGCTGCTACTTGAGCTAATGTAAAGTGCTAGGCCTTGTAAGGGAGAAGAGGTAGTATTTCCCAGTAGCCCACTGTGTTCTGTATTGGTTGTTGGCAGTTAAAAAGTAAGCAGATTTCCTAAGATCTAATTGATGGTGTAGAGAGAAGTTTTATCCATTAACATTAGTTGTATACATTTTTGTTTAATCAAACAACATCCTCCTTATTGCAGGCTAGAGGATTAAGATAACCACAGTCCTACTTCTCACTGGCACAGGTTCAAAAATATGTAAATCTGAATAGGGAAGATGGATTTAAGAGTACTGTAAACTTTTTGCATTTGCTAATGTAGCATATCTTTCTAACATGTCCTAAAAGCCTGGAAATCTTCATCCTCTAAAACAGAAAGTCACTGAAAATGCAGTATCCCTACTACTGGGTATAACAGATAAGGTTTGCATCACAGTGAGAATCTTAAGTAGTCAGTTCTGCTTTGGGAAAGAAACACTGTTTCTTGTAAAAAAGCTGTATCTGTCTAGACAATACCCGTACCTGAAGGAAACCTTATCCATTAGAAAAAAACCACAATCTTCTAAGCTCTTACTGGTAGAAGTTGTAGAGTAGGTACTGAATTAGATGTTAGTCAGTGTATTAATGTAGAGAGCATGGTTACTGTGCTCTGTAAGAGTGGGCTTGAGGTTTGATGTACTAAGGCCTGAGCAGCAGGCTTCAGCCAGAACTGACTTAAAAGGTGAGTCCTGGGCATTATGTGACTAACACCATCAGTACTGTTTAGCTAAAAACACATGACTGAGATGTTTGTACTAGCTTTTATCACCAAACTGGATGCTTTAGAAACTTTCACATGACCTTGTGCAACTATCTGCAAGAAATGTATCATTTTAAGGAACTTTCCTCAAGAGACAACAATAGAGGCTTGTTTGTAGGGTATTTTAGGGAAAACCCTCCCAGACAAGACCTGGCCTCTGGCCACACTATGGCCCCAGCTGGGAGGGAAGTATGCCATCAGACCCAGGTGCTTTGCACTAAAAAACATAATCAAGTCACTTTGACTTGCTGATTTGGGCCTATAAAAGCTGGACCCCCTTTCAGGATGAATTTGGAGACCTTATCTACAAGTGGACGCACTGCGTAGGATTTTCCCAATCGCTGAGAAGGGTTCTTCAGGTCCTCACTGCAAAATGGGGCTCCCCAGCAATTTTGTACTTTGGATGATGGTAAAGTATTTAGGCAATTGGTGATGTCTTTCTAAATCATTGTCCTTTCTCTTGTGTAGTAATGATGAGGTGCATTATCTTGCTTATTTTTGCATGTTGCTAAAGCTGAGCACATAGTAAGCTTATTGTTTTATTGAATGAATAATTTTATTTTGTGTTGCCTTAATACTCACAATGAAATAATACCATTCTTTCCCTTGGTGTCTGTATCCTTTAAATTGCCCCCATTAATTGGAAAACAAAGTGAGAGGATATTTTGTGACCAAGACTATTGTCTTGTATGTGTGTATGCCACAGTAAATGCTCACAAAATGCAATTTTTCATATAATACAAGTTCCAGAGCTGTTTCCCTCCAGCTCCCACATAGCAATTTGGACTGTGCTCTATATGTACAGTTGGGCCCTATTCTATACCATGAGTGTGTGCAGTAAGTCTTGTTTTCAGTTGAGTTCAGCTGAATTGTTTCAGTTGAATGGAGCTGAGTGAAGCTGCCTGTGTCAAGGACTAAAATTGCCTTCCTCTTAGTGATGGTGTGCACAGATAAAATGCATGTGCATCACAGAGTAAGATAAGATTAGAGAAAGGACCAGCACAACACTTTTTTCTTAATCTCAGGCTTTTGGATGGTTTGATTTAACTTTTGTGACTGGTCAGAACTCTGGAAGAAGTATTTGGGACTTGTGGTAAATATATGCAGTCACACAGTCATCTAAACACTAATCTGCGACTTGGTTAGTTTGTAACCTTTTTATCATGTTAATCATGCTTCGGCATTGATAGTCAGTCTCTAATCACACCAATTTACTGAATATGCAGGTGCTGTAATCTGTTTGGCTTCTGTTCAGAACCACAACAGTCACGTATGGTTTATCTGGAGCATGTAATGTGCATGCTTATGCAAAACTCTCAGTTGTACACATGAACAAACAGGAACATAATGTAAATGCCTCTTCCTTTGGGTTGAGATGTTTCTTCTGCCTTTACCATCTTTTATCATGAGTTACTGCTGTTTCTTCCTGAAAGGTTAATTCTCCTCTTTGCAATCATGATGACTTTTACCTCAAGACTTGTTGGAATATAAGTGATGCCTTCTTCTGGTATTGTTTATAATTGAACTAGAATGTTGTTTTCTTCTTCCACTTTGTTGCTGTAATAAATTAGCAAAACTTGTTGTATCAGCATGCCACACAGAAAGGTGCTCTCTGTTTTAAACAGAAGTGATTCTTGTAGATGCCAGGATTACTTGTGGTGGCATGGAGATCAAGGACTGCTAGCTATCACATCCTCCTCTGTCTCCCTGGTTCTTGATTAATGCCAGTGCTGATCCTAGAAGCCTTTTTGTTTTGGCAAAGAAGGCTCAGGGTTCAGTTGTAACATACAAGTTACTGTTTTGCATTTTTGGCATTTTTCTATATATGGTATGGCCTTGATATGCTCCAGGCAGCACTGCCAATTCTTTGCAGTTCTTGGTTTTTGTTCTTGTTCTCTTGAATTACTGCATGTGCACTGCTCACTTAGCCATTTCTTCTGGTGCACAAATGTTTATGCTCCACGTGCTCCAGTGTAATGATTCTTTTACAGAGCAGGTTTCACCTGCAGCCTTTTAATACTGCAAGAGAAGGGGTCATTACAAAAGAGGCTATCATTTGGTCTGTTTTTATTTTAATCCCTCTCCTCCGTCTTTCATTTTATACTCAGATATATCAGCTTTGTCTCCAAGTTAAGCTATTCTCTCCACAAACCTGTAATAAAATTACAGGATAAACCACAGATATGTCTATGGCTTATCAAGTTGAGACAGAAAAACTTCTCAGAGAACTAAACTGAGTGCTTTGAACACTTGGCAGGCTGTATTTTGACACCTTGCTGATATCCAGTAATGTGAATGTCTCTAAAGACATTCACAGCTGCAGTCGCTTTTGGCTCCAAAACAGCGCTGCCTGGGAGAACCTTCTGTTGAACCTGGTCTTTCAGAAGACCTTCTGGGAATTAGACTGACCACTCCTGTAGCCCACCACTACCAGGAAGATTCCTGAAGCAGCTCCAGTCTTGCTAGTGAGAGAACTCTATTTGGCTAAACTTTTTTCATCACATAATTCCAATTTCTCATGTTCAGGTTTTCCTAAGTAGAGCTTTGATGCTGTTGAACTAGACTTGTATAATCTCTGTGTTCCATTCTAGGGTTTCCAATTTTTTTTTCTTCTTTGTTGGCAACTTATTCAGAAAAATTCTATTTATTTATTTTTTAAAACTCCTTTCAAATAAAAGGACAGGGTGGGGGGAGGGTTCTGTCCCTTCCAAAGAATCAAACCCATGAGCTGCAGGTCCTGCACAAGTATTTTTTTGAGTTTCTTGCTGTGTGGCAAGCACAGAGGCCACTAGCATTTCTTTTTGTTCTGCTGGTTTGAATTGTGCCCAGAAAGCTTCATAGTAATAGCATTCATTACTGTGATATGAGCAAAATGATCTGCAGAGATGGAAGAAGGAGATGAGGCACTTTACTCTTAATTAGAATTATTATTGTCTACCACAAGAGATTGGTTCCTTTGGCACTGATAGTTACACTAAGCTCATTTACACAACAGGTGTATATCAAAGCTGTGTGCTTTGATTTGGGAAATCTCCATTTTGGGCCAAGGTGATAGACAGGTACCCTCAAAGAATACTTATGCTGTCCTGCATGGACTTGTCATCTGTGAATTATTTCTTTTTTAAAGAAAACATCCACTGTCAAAATTAACAGATGATTAACAGCTACTGCAATCTGCCAGTCCGGAAGAAGTCTGCTACTGAGTTGACAAATGTAAAACTGTCCTTTTCTTGCTACTCTAAATTTACCTGTTGGTTTGGGAACTTGCGCTGGTGTTCTCA